AGCATGGTGGTGCATTCCTGTAATCCCACCTACTCGGGAGGCTGAGGCAGGAGAATTGCCTGGACCCGGGAGGCGGAGGTTGCGGTGAGCCGAGATCACACCATTGCACCCCAGCCTGGGAAATTCCATCTCAAAGTAAAGTTACGAGGAACTGAGTCTCATAGCTGGGGGAGCTGGGGGCCCCGTCAACTGGTTCCCCTGGTCTGGAGTGCAATCTGAGAGTGAGCAGTGGCACTGTGTGTGTCTGTGTGGGTGCTGGATAAAATTAACATTTGAATTTGTGAATTGAGTGAAGCGGAGTGCCCTTCCTCATGTGGGTGGGCCTCATCCAATCAGTTCAAGGCCCACATAGGAACCTCCTCTTGTCTGACTGACTGAACTGGGCCCTAGGTCTTTTCCTGCCTTCAGACTTGAATGGAAACAGCAGCTTTTTCTTTCCTACGGGAACCCACACCATCAGCTCTCCTGCCTGACAGCTGCAGATCTTGGGACTGCCCGACCCGAATAGCCCTGTGAGTGCATTCCTGGTAATAACCGTCTTTCTCTTACTCCCCGCCCCCCACGATTGGCTCTGTTTCTTTGGAGAACCCTAATACGTCATTTTACTAATCAGGAAACAGATTCAGAGAGATTATTAACTCCTCCAACCTCACAGTCAGGTGCAGAGTCGGACTTGAAATCCCAAGGTCGATTTTCTTTGCCAGTGAATCATGCTACATACGTTTATTTAAAAATAAAAACCCTTGTGAACTGAAAAGTTTCCCAACTTAAGCTCATTCTGGTCCTTTATTTGCTAATCCATAGGCACGCTGCTCCCAAGACCATGACGAGGTCAGCACTCGGCCCTCCCCTCTTCTGGGGCTCCCGGAAGCTGCCTCAGAAGGCCTCTCCCTGCAGCTTCAGGGTTCAGCACCCCTCCAGCTGTGGGTAACCCCTACTCTGGGCACTGAGGAAAGAGCTAAGCAGATCCCCGGCACAATTAGTACCTAAAGAGTATTGGCCGGGTGGCTCAAGCCTGTAATCCCAGCACTTTGGGAGGCCGAGGCGAGTGGATCACGAGGTCAAGAGATCGAGACCATCCTGGTCAACATGGTGAAACCCCGTCTCTACTAAAAATACAAAAAATTAGCTGGGCGTGGTGGCACGTGCCTGTAATCCCAGCTACTCAGGAGGCTGAGGCAGGAGAATTGCCTGAACCCAGGAGGCGGAGGTTGCGGTGAGCCGAGATCGCGCCATTGCATTCCAGCCTGGGTAACAAGAGCGAAACTCCGCCTCAAAAAAAAAAAAAAAAAAAAAAAAGAGTCTCTTAGTTGATTGTGTTATTACTCAGTTATTTCCTTTATATAATCCTTTATATATAATCATGTATTAGTTTATAATCAGAAGAATTAGTGCTTGAAGAATATCTTACTACTCAGTTATTTCCATATATATATATGTATATATATATAATTATATCTTAGTTCATAGTCGGAGGAATGTCTAGAGCAGACATGGCACAGAGCATGAATTAAGGGATCAACAGCTCTACATATATAAGCATATCCTGCTTATAGTCGGAGGAATGTCTAGAGCAGACACGGTGCAGAGCATGATTTAAGGGAAAAACAGTTATCCCAGGGCAAGAATCTATGGCCCTAGTGCCCTGGCCCGAAAGGGCATGTGCTGCATGGCAGGCCGGCCCAGGCAGCAGCGTTCAGTATCGTAAAGATGCCAGCTGTACGGCAGGCTTGGAGCAAGAGTCACTCCTCCTGTGAGGGAGCTGCAGGAACTTGCATCCAGTTCTGGAAAGTTGTCCTCTGGCAGGCAATCCTGAGAACACCCACGGGCTTAAAACCCCCCCCCCCGGTATGATCGCGCCTTGGTGGCTGTGACCTTTATCAGCTCTGTTGCTGTGTGACTCAAAGCATCCTCCTACAGAAATCACTGGAAGCTGCCAGCAGGCGGCGGCAGACCTGTGTGATGTAAAGCAACCTCCTATAGATAACCTTAGAAGTAGCGTGCCGATGGATGAGAGATGCGGCACACTGCACCCCCTTCACTGCGCACAGCCCACCTCCTAGCCTCGGTGACCTAACAGGGGTGGACCCCTTGTTTATTGCTCACGTGATTGTGTTGACCCTATCACTATCCTTAATATGACCTCACTCACTACCCTGCCCCCCAACCTATACCCAATAAATACAGACGCTCCTGGACATTCGTGGCCTCACCTGTCTCTCCTCATAGGTGGCGCGCCCCCCTCCCTGCGCCCGAGCCCAGCCGTGTTTTCCAGTCCTTCTGTGTCCTCTTTATTTTTTGGATCCTGTACCTCAGCACAGTGGTAGGGGACACCCCACGACCCTGGAGCTTTACCCTATCCCAGGGCGTTTATTTCCTTCTCAGCTCAAAAGCAGATACTCTGCCAGAAACAGATGGTCACTTCCTGGGTTCCAAAGCTCACATGCACCCCTTTTCCTGGTCCCTCACATTTGCTGTGACCAACCCAGGCTCAGGAGATCCTCTGCTAGGACTATACACTCACACTGTCAACAGGCCCTTCCAGGAGCTCTTTGTGTGGGGATTTGCTGTGTGCCTGGCACTTGGCAAAGAACCCCCCCCATGCCATCCTTCCGGCCACCATGTGTGGTGCCGACGGGGCTGCGCCACCTCCACTGTCATTGGCAGGAGCAGGCTCTGTGAGGAAGGGTAAGTGTGGGGTGTGGAATCAGGGCTGGTGGATCCTCAACCCGGGCTCCCAGAGACCATCGGCGCCTTAGGAAGATCCCTGGTCACTTCGGGGAGGAGGGAGAGGCTGAGGCTGAGAATCGGGTTTTGGGTCAGAGGAGGGAGAGCCGTGGTGGCGTGGGGTTGCAGGTGGCGTGGGGATGGAGGTTGGCCGTCGTCCGGGTTCCTCTCCGGGGCGGAGCCGGCCCCGGGGGCTGCCGCCCGGACAAGGACCCTGGTGTGATGCAAATCGAAGGAGGATGGGGAAGACGGTGACCGGGAGGCCGGCACGACGCAGGGCGGCAGGAGGGCGCAGGAATGTCTTGTCCTGTTCAACTGCATGCTGATACACCTGGCAGCCACCCCAGGGTCGACAAATGTCCTTAAAAGTCCACTCCGGGGTCCCGCCGGGCCGCTCTGGGGTTCCCGGGAAATGTTCCCTGGATCACTTGGAACGTTCAGAGAATCAGCCCAGTGCCTGCGGGCTGGGAGGAGACGCTGAGAACGCTGGGAGAGGCGCAAATGCCATTTCTGCCCAACTCGGCGGGCCCTGCCCGGCAAGGGAGGACAGAGAGACCCTGCGGAGGGTTTACGACCCTGCGCGCAGGAGCAACCCCACCGGATGGGCCGCGCCGCACTCCCTCCGGGAGGTCTCGCGTGGAGCAGCCGCGGCTCCGGAGCCTCGCGCAGGCTGCAGAGGGTGCGTCCGGCCCCACCCCACCCGGCCCCTACGGGGCTGTCTAGGACGGCTTGGGGGGCCACCGGGTCGTCCTCTCCGGTGGCCGACGGTCCCTGCAGAGCCAGCCCCATCGGCCTGGCTGCCCACGCGTGTTACTGACCAAGGAGAATGCAGGCGTCCTCACCCTTACCTTTCAGGCCGACAGTCTCAACCCCAGGCTCACCGAAACCAGCAAGGACGACTCGAGGCGCCTGCCTCCCAGCTGATGTGGGGCAGACGCACTGCCCTCCAAGCCCGCACCCCTAGACTCGTTCTCACCCGGCGGGGTAGAGCGTCCAGAGCGCTGGTGACCATGGATCCCGGGGAGCATTGCCTGGAGAGGGAGGCGTGGGCGAGCGGGGCCCGGGGCCGCCTTCCCCAAGGGCTGCACAAGGCCCTGCACCGCAGGCTCCCAGTCGAGGGCGGGGACGAGGGGGCGCATGGCGGGGCGGGGCTTGTGGAGGGGACGAAGCCCGGCAGCCGAGTTCCTGGGGCTTCTGAGCTGGAAACGAGGTCCCGCTGTCTCAGCAGGGGCCTGGGTGGTTGGCTGGTCAGGGAGTCCTGGGATTCAGCTGGTGCCATCACTGATCATGTGACCTTTAGCAAGCCACGGGTCACCTCAGAGCCTCCAGGTTCTCCGGAAAATGGACTCGCTGGGGGCTATGACATCAGACGCGCGCTGGGCAGGCCGCCACAGACACTTCCAAAAAGTGGGGACCGTAGCTTTCATCTTCAACAGGACAGTGACCTCACAGGACCGCCAGAGGCACACCTGGGGGCCAGGCCTAGGGTTCTGGATGAGTCACAGCAGGTGACACCTGGAGAGGGCAGTCTTGGAGGGGCCAGGCAACTCCTCAACCCACGGTGGGGCCCGCCAGCTGTCCTGGGGGTGGGGACAGGCACTGACAGCCACTGGCACTCAGCACTTCGTGGCCACCCCCAGCCGAGCTCTCCCAGGGCTGCGTGTCTCAGACTCTCCTGCCCAGGAGCAGTGTCCCAGCAGCTCTGAAGAGGGTCCGGCAGTATCAGCCCACACCTGTCAAGACTTGAACACCCTGGACCCCACGCCCCAGAGCAAGTGGCTGGTGCAGAGTTGGCCCAGGCCACTGCTGCCCAGCAGGCCCCACTGAGTGGAGGCCGGGCGGAGGAGGCAGCAGAGCTGACAGGGCGTGTGGGGAAGAGCTTGCGGTATTGGACAGAAGCAGAGGCCTCCCAAATACACAAAGGAACCGAACTGCCAGAGAGCCCTCGCCCAGGTGGCAGACAGGCGGCCTGGCCAGGCCTGTGGGTGCCTCTAGGCGGGCCCTGTCCTCACCCCCTGCTCTGGGCGCACCCCCCGCGTGGACGATGCGGTGTCAGCGTCAGGCAGGCCTGACTATTCCTGGTCTCTGGGAAGTCAGGACACCTCCAGGCTTCAGACCCTCCCCTAGGATCCTTGGGCCACCCACCAGGCCCCAGGGACCCGTGGCCTTTCGTGGCAGGTTGGTGGAGCAGCCCTATCACCCCCATCCTGCAGCGGGTCCTCGGGGATGGGAAGCTGCCCCAAGGCCTCGCCCAGGCAGGTGCCAGCTCCCACTTCCAACACTCAAAAAGAATTTATTCTGGACACGTGGCATGCGGCGCTGGGCGGTGCCCACGGAGGAGGCGGGGAGGCAGGAGGTCTCGCCCGAGCCCCCGGCCGGCTACTCGCGGTAGTGCACCCGCTGGTGCTGGATGAGCTGCGAGCTCTGGCCGAAGGCCTTGCCGCAGGCGCCGCACGCGAAGGGCTTCTCGCCGGTGTGGGTCCGCAGGTGCCGGAAGAAGTGCGAGCGGCCGCGGAAGGCCTTGCCGCAGTCGGCGCACTCGTAGGGCTTCTCGCCCGTGTGGATGCGCTGGTGCTCGATGAGCACGGAACTCCAGATGAAGGCCTTGCCGCACTGGCTGCAGGCGTAGGGCTTCTCGCCCGTGTGCAGCCGCTGGTGGCGCACCAGGTTGGAGCTCTGGCTGAAGGCCTGGCCGCACTCGCCGCACTTGTAGGGCTTCTCGCCGTTGTGGATGCGCAGGTGCTGCGTGAAGTGCGAGCTGTGGCTGAAGGCGCGGCCGCACTGGCCGCACTCGTAGGGCTTCTCGCCCGTGTGGATGCGGTGGTGCTGGATGAAGCCGGACCAGCCGCGGAAGCGCTTGCCGCACTCGTGGCAGGCGTAGGGCTTCTCGCCCGTGTGGATGCGCTGGTGCTTCAGCAGCAGCGAGTTGTACTTGAAGCTCTTGCCGCAGGCCTCGCACCGGTGCGGCTTGGCCCCCCGCGCGCCGCCCTGCCGGCTGCGGCCGAAGGTGACTCCCAGCTCGGCGGCCCGCTCCGGTGTGTCCCCGGGCCCGGCTGCTGCCTGGGGCACGAGCGTCACGCGCCAGGCGCCCCGCGGCTGGGGGCAGGGGACGGCCCCGGGGGGCTGGCCCGCCGGCCGCTCCGCGCTGGACTCGGGCTCCAGGCCTGTGCCGCACCGGGCCCTGCGGGGAAGGCTCCTCAGGAGGCTGCGCAGCGCCCCGCCCGTCCCCGCGTCAGGGGCCCGCGGGCCGGGAGAGCGTGGGGCCGGCTCTGGCTCGGAGTCTGCAATGGGAAACAGCAGAGGCGAATAGCATCAGCGTGCCCCCACCGTGGCACGGAGGGATGGGAACGGGGTGAGCAGAGCTGGGCAGCGGGGCTCAGAGGGGACAGGGAGGGGCCGGGCCCCCAGTGGATGGGAGACAAGCAGGCAGGGGCTCAGAAGGCCGTGCGCAGGAGGGCTGTCATAGACACGGGGGCGGGGGTCGTTGCAGTGTTACCCACAGCTGCTGGGACCACCCAAAGTCACTCGTGGCTGTGCAGGTGGACGGGAGCCACAGTGGCAACAGGCCGTGGGTGGGGTCGCCCTCTCAGCTAGGAGGGAGCACTGAGTGCTGGTGAGTACCCACAACCTGGGGGGCTCCAGAGGCCGCCCAAAGCCCGCACTGAGGGCGTGGTCCGTATGCGCACAGCTCCTCACGGGGCAGCCCCGGCCTCGGTGGCCAGTGCCCTGCCACCCAACTCCCATACCCACCCCAGGAGCCTTCCAGGCAATTCTCTCTGGTCCAGGTTCTCCTTCCAGGGACCTGACCTCAGATACCTGCTCCCCACCCCAGGGCCGCCCAGATAGGTTAAATCCAGCCACGTCACCACCACCACCTGGGGGAACCCAGAGGGCTTCTCATGGGGGAGGTGCAGAGGGCCTGGACTGACGGCTGCAGCCAGCCTGAGGCGAGGCCACCTGGGGGACAGAGTAGGAGGGGACCCAGATCACTGTCCGGTGGATCTGGGGGGACAGTGGTGCCCTGAGCCAGAGGCCCCAGCCTGAAGCACGTGGAGGGGAGGGAGGAGCTCCTGCCTGCGTCCACCACGAGGGCAGGTGGCCACGGGCTGCAGTCACTGCCTCGGGCAGCTTCAGTGACTGGACTGGCTTTAGAGTGGGGGAAGGGAAGGGGCCCCAGGCAGGGGGTGGTGCCAGCACTGGGGGTGCCACGTGCAGACTGAGGTCCCTCAGTAGCCTGGTTAACCCGGTTCTGCTGACTCACCGGGCCAGAAGGTGTCTCTGCCCATCTCCACTTCCTCTATGTCTTGGAGATCCAGGTCAGACGGCTGGGAGAGCACCTCAGGGCTGGAGCCTGGGGGGCAGGGAGGCTGGGCTCACCTCCACCCTCCGGACCACTGCCCCCACTCTTCTGACCGCCACATGGGCTGGGCTGTGGCACAGACACAGTACACCTCCTGGTCCCCCCAGCTGCAGGTCAGCCCCGCCTGCGCCCACTCTCGGGCTTCTTTGGCCATGAATGCCCTTTACCTTCCTTCCCAGCTCGGCTCAAGAGCCTCCTCCTCCAGGGCCCAGCATTGGGAGCTCGCTCCCCTTCAGCCCGGCAAGCGGAGCCAAAACCTTGGGCAGCTTCAAAGCAGCTCTCCTGCCGCCCAGGGCAGCTTTGTCACCCCGGCAGGCTGTAGCCTGCCTCCCCCCCCGTCCCACCACCACACGATGCTGCTCTGGAGAGGCCTCTCCGAGGGCTGGCCCCGCGGGCTGCCTCACTGAGCCTCCCCGCCTCAGCCCCAGGCCGCCTCTCTGTCCCTCCAGGGCTCCCCACTGTCCCTGACGAGCACCCAGCCCCGGCGCAGGCAGCTGTTTCCAGCGGGCCCGCTGCACTGGCCCGACTCCTCCGGTGGACGCTGAGGAATAGGCTGGGCCCATCCATGAGCCCCTTACCCCCGGGCACACCAGGCTTGGGCACCCAGGATGAAGACCCCCCTCACAGCCAAGACTTGGAGGTGGCAGAGGGGCACAGACGCAGAAGGGAGGGGCGTGGGCACCATCTGTTAGACACGGCTCTGCTGCCCGAGGCCAGGGGACAGCTCTTCTGACGCCGCAGGGCCCAGGCCTGTTTGGGGTCTCACCTGTCTCCTCAGTGCTGTGCCACCCTGGTGCCTCATCTGCTCTCTGCCCACAGCAGGGAGGGTGGCTCTGCCCCACCAGGCTGAGTGCGGGCGCCCCCAGCAATGGCAATGCAGAGATGGGCACAGGACACAGGGCTGGCGTGGGCAGAGGCTCCCGTCCCCCCCCGATTCACAACGTGGTGCCTAGCTGTGAGCCTTTCACAGGCCTCTCCAGCCTCGGGCAGGGCTGTCCTGGCTGCAGTGGGGTGACTGCGAGACCAGGCTGAGTAAGGGCAGGCCCAACATGGGTGGCGCCACTCCAGAGCCACGAAGGGCTGGGATGTTCAGCAGATGGGGGCGGCTGCGCCGTGTCCCTTCCTTGAGCCGAGGGTCCAGAACTGCTTGGCTGTCCTGAAGCAGGATCTGGGGGGTCCAAAACCACCTTTGGGCCTTTCAGATACGCTCCCTAATGTGGGGACAGGCCTGGGGCACTGGGCTTTCTGCGCTGTCACCATCATCCCCAGCTCGTGGCCACCAAGTCACCCTCCCCTGGCAGCCAGGGGAGCTAGCTGGCTTGTTCCACAGATGGCCAATGCAGGACAGGCTCCAGCACTGTGCTCCTGTGGGGGGTGGGAGGTTGGGGGGGGAACCACCTGCGACAGCCTTGCCACCTCTGACCTGGGCTGGGATGCCACTGGAGGGTACCCGGCAGGACTCTGAGAAAGCGACCTGCGATTCCAGCTTTGTTCCTGGGGCCACGCCCCGGCACTGACAGGTAGAATGTTCCCCGGGCCATCACTTTAAGAGGGCCAGTGACATCACCAAGATAGGAAGCACGTCAAAGCTGCTGCCACCTGTGGGATGCCCGGAGACACCCTCAGAATCAAATGATGCCAGGCAGTGTGCAGTCTCCACCTGCTTCAGAATGAGCTAAGGATGACACCCAGCTCCCTGGGAACCTGCCGTGTCCCGGCAGGTCAAAGCACTTGCTAGACCCTTCTCTAGAGGATGGGGGCTGGCCTAGGGTCAGGGGCAGGCTGCACACAGTATGGGTCACCGTCACTCCACTGCCCAACCCTGGCTCCTGACACCTGCCCACATTTGGGCCGTTTCTGCAGAGCTGTCACCTGCCACCTGCTAGCTGTGCTGGGGCCGTGCCAGGTCTCCACAAGGTGCACAGCCAGACCCTGCTCCCCATCCTGATGGCTCTCTGTCAAGTACCCTCCCACTGCTGTGCTGGGACACAGGGACAGTGGCCTGAACTGAAGCAGCACCGGGCCCGCCCACCTGCTAGGGCTGCTCTTCCAGGTGGAAGCGAGGTGGCTGTGCATGTCCAGGGACAGGTAGGAGGTGGGTGCTTTCCTGGCTGCAAAGGCTTTTCTTTGTATATAAAATGGCACAGTGAGTGCTGTGTGCCTGGGCCTGGGCCAGGGTGAGTTAGAGGAGCAAGCTAGGCACTGGGGGTGGTCAGTGGGTACCTAGAGTCCAGTTCTCTGGTGCCAGGACTAGGCACTCCATGTGGAAAGATGCTGTGTCTGTCTCGGGGTGGCCCTGCCCTGCCCATGGGCTCCTCCTTGCCAGGCTGTACACTCAGTAACCCCCACAGGGCTACAAGCTCCCCTCCATCACGTCCTCCACAGACTGTCCTTCCACCTGCGGGACTCCTAGGCAAACCTTCCAGAACTCGCTCAGGCAGCGCTGGCTCTGGTAGGCGTGGCCTTGGGCACAACACCGTCCCTGGGAGCTGTGCCAGGACCCTCCGTCCCCAAGGCCAGCTCCTGATCTGTGTCTCCACGGAGACCACAGAGGTCCTGGGAGATGAGGCACTGTGGCCCATTCCCAGCTGCCTGGTCTCCCTGCTGTGAGGCTTGGGCTAGGCCATGGCCTTAAGCCGTGGGAGCCCAGCTTCATGTCTGCAGGGAGCAGTGCAGGGCTCACCCTGCCACTCCCCATGCCCTTCGCCACCCTCCCCGCTGACAAATGGCTCCTCCTTGGGACCTCCTCTGCTCCCCGACACCTCACAGCCTGGTGCCCAGCAGTGCAGCCAGAGGCTGCCGAGGTGACCACGTGTGCCTAGCTGGGCCCTGGGGACCTCGGTCTGGCCACTGCGGACTTCGTCTGGGCACCAGGAGGCTGCGGCTCCAAGTCCTGGCTTGGCCCCTAACTGGTGGGACGGCCCTGGGCAAGTTCCAGAAACACCAAGGTGTCCCTGGCTCAGGAGTCTGTGGCCCCGGAGATTCCCAGAGAGCAGAGGGAGCTGGAAACTCCCAGAGGCAGCCCCTGCCTTCACCGACTGCTTGGAAGTTGGCACAGGAGCCGCCCATTGCCGAGGCCTGGCCCCGTTCTCTCTACACTGGGGTCACCAGCATGAAGAGGGGATGAAGACGACCTCTCATCTAGCTCCGGTTACCTGCCAGCCTTCGCAGGCCCCACCGTGCCTGTCACAATCTCCGCCTGGGGGGAAGCAGCCACACCTGCTGCTCCTAGGGCCAAGCTCATCTGTCTTCCCCACCTGCTATTTCTGGCACAGCATGGGAGGGTGGAAGCTGTGGGTGCAGCCCCCACTCCCTCCTTTGAGGCAAAACCCTGGGGGTTTCAGGGCACTGGGCTGTGGCTCCAGTGCCCAGGAGGCTTCCAGGCCTGTGGAGGTGGCGACCCATGCCTAGTTTTCTGGGCCAGGCTGCCCATGGCTGGTGGACAGGCCTGGGGGTAGTGCAGCCCTGCACGCTCAGGGGGCCCCGCCTCAGCCCCTCCACGAGCCCTGGGCCCAGCCTCCGCCTGGGCATCAGCTTCTTATCCTGCAGAACCCGGACTGCAGTCTCCCTCAGCCTGGGCCCTGTGCTGCCCCAAGATGATCTGCTGGGCTGTCCCCTCACTCAGATGGGCCCCCTAGAGGAGCCACATCTCGCCCGGCCCAGGGGGAGTGCCAGGGCATGGCCTGAGTCAGATGGGTGCAGAGCGAATTCTGCGGGCCTCTGGGCTGCCGTGTCCCCACTGAACAGGACTGGAGGACTCCCCTCAGCTGTCTACAGGTGACATGAGATGCCAAGTTCGGCCCTGAGATTCTGACTGAGCGAGGGGTAAGGAGCAGGGTCCTCCGGGGCATGGGTGGGGGCCCAGCCACAGCCTGGCACAGCGTGTGCTGTGGGGGCCTGGGATCCTTCCAGGTAGCCCCTGGCCAGGACAGGCAGCCTGTGGGCACCTCTTCCCGGCCTCCTCACAGTCCTGGGGGAGCTGCTCAGGACCCAGCAGCAGAGACGGCATGGCTGCAGGCTTCTGCTCCTTGGGGGAGTGGATCCCAAGCCAGCTGGCTCCCTGCGCCTCCAACTCACCCTGATCCTGGTTCCTCCGGGGAGCCCCCTGGCCTCTCTGCCTCCATCTGAGTACCCACCTCAGGGCCCCATGCAGCGCAGCTGCCCTCCACAAGCCTCAGCGGTCCCTTCAGCCACTAGGACGCTGACTCCCCAAAAGGGAAGAGCCCTGGGCCAGGCTGCCCCTGTTCCTGGGCCAGGCAGACTCTCCAGGTTGAACTATGTGGGGCCTTGCCCCTGCTCTCAGCAGCTCAGGTGCTGGGTTGGGCCATGCGGCTGTAGGCCAGGCCTCCTGTGGGACACACAGTAGAGATGGAGTCTCAGGGTTGCTGACCTCTGAGAGGGAGCAGAGCCCGGGTACCACGGGGCTGGGACTCCCCCACACCTCAACTTCCAGAGCCTGCCATGTGACCATGAGGCCACCCCACTGGGGGTAGAGCAAGGCCAGTGGTGATCACACCCAAACCAGCTTGGCAGGGACTATGGCCGCTCCATTTCTGCATGACGACAAAGGCTCTGAGGAGAGACACCTTGCTCCTGGTCACGCTGGACCCAGATTTTGAGGCCACTTTCCCTCCTATACCCCAACCCAGGAAACTAACAGAATGCGGGGAGCCGTGCCTAGGAAGCCAGAGCTCAGGCTTGGCCCCAGCCTCAACCCAACCCAATCCGTGCCCAGCCCCAGCCTGAGGGTGTGGGAGCCTCAGCTGCTCAAAGAGCTGCACAGGTATCTGGAGGCACCTCTTAGCTGGCCAGGGTGGCAGGTCAGAAGGAGACAGGGCAAGAGACATGGGCAGGGGATGCAGGGCGGAGGGCGCACGGCAGGCGGGTGAGTACCATGTTGATGCCCACGGAGGAGAAGTCGAGGCTCGTGGTGCTGGGCTCCCGGTGTCCCTGGTGATGAAAGACTGACAGGGGATGGGACAGAGGGGGGCTCCGAAACGTCCCCTGGGGCTGCCATCTTCCCTGAGACCTGCTGAAGGTGTCACACCTGGGACCTGGGGAAAATGAAAACCAGGGCAGATGAGGGGTGGAGAGGAATGTGGGGCGGTGCAGGAGGCGGCAGCATGCCAGCTCCCAGGGGAGATCAAGGATGGAAGGTGAACCCACAGGCACACACAGGCCTGGGGTTTCTGGCAGTCTGGGGACTTGGCATGTTTATTCAGTAAGGAACAACTCTTTGAGTGGCCGAGTGCAGTGGCTCACACCTGTGATCCCAGCACTTGGGAGGCCCAGGCAGGTGAATCACAAGGTCAGGAGTTCAAGACCAGCCTGGCTCAATGGTAAGACCCCATCTCTACTAAAAATACAAAAATTAGCCAGGCACAGTTGCAGGTGCCTGTAATCCCAGCTACTTGGGAGGCTGAGGGAGGAGAGCTGCTTGAACCCGGGAGGAGGGTGCAGTGGGCTGAGATCCCACCATTGCACTCCAGCCTGGGCGATAAGAGTAAACTCAGTCTCAAAAGAAAAAAAAAAAAAAGCTTTGGAAGGAACTCTTGGGAAGTGGCCACTGCCCGGGCAGCACAGCACACCTGCCGAAGCAAAGCTCCCGTCCCAGCATAGTCTCTGGCATCTCCTTCCAACCCACGGCGTCACCCCTCCCCCAGAGAAAGGCAGATGGAGTCTTCCAGAAAAACCTCAGTTGCTTTGGCCTGTGGGAGGGCTGAAAACCGAAATATGCCTGCTGACGCATGAGTGTTCTGGAAAAAATCTTAGCAAGGCTTTTCCTGAACAGCAGAGGAGAGGCATTTCCAGAGAGGGGAACCCTCTTCCTCAGACACTAGTCCTCAGAGGCTGCAGGCTGGTACCCCTAGCCCAGCCCTGCCTCAGCGCTGGGAGACTCACTCAGGGCTCCAAGATACTTAGTTTGGTTTGCAAAAATGGCTCGAGTCCAATGTGAGAAGTGACTTTTCTTTCACACGGTGCTAGAGTTAGGAACTCCTTATCTGGGGCAGGGAGTGAAGAAAGGAACTGGAAGAACGGACAAAAGTTAACGGAAACTCAGATACGGTATAAGGACAGGAGACAGCGCCTGCTTGGAGGAAGTGGGAGAGGCAGTTCCCACCCCAGTGCCCGGCCACTGGGCCAGCCTCCATCCCCTAACGGTGGGAGGGATCGGGCCGCCAGGGGAAGCGGACACAGGGTGAGGTTGCAGGCGTGACACTGGGTGCAGGCCCTCCACCCTGAAGTCACATCTCAAGTTAGTCAACTTTTGGGGACATCTGGTAAAAGGGCCTGCTGGGTCACCCCGACCCTGGCTTGACCCCCAGGACTGAGTGGAGGCGGCCGTGACAGGGTAGACGCCGCTTTACCACCAGGGACGCACAAACTCTGAGATCCAGGCCGAAGGGGGAGGGGGCAGCCCCGCCAGCGGCCCGGGGAAGCGTCCTCCGCCCTCCGGTTCCCAGCCGCGTGGGAGCGGGCCCGATCGCCGGGAGCTCGGCGCAGAGCGCGTCTGCCCCGCGGTGCTGCGCTGGGGTCCGGCTGCTCCACGCTCCCGAGTGGCGGGACCTCCGGGCCTCAGTTTCCCATCTGCAGAGTGGGGATGACGACAGCTGCCTTCACCGGGTGCCTGGGAAAGGCGCCCTGAGGACGGACACCCGCGATCGCCACGGCCGCTGGGCGGGGTGGGGGGGTCCGCTGCTGCCCCGCGACCACCCTCAGAAGCCCACCCCGCTCCCCGGGACCGGCCCGAGGCCAAGGTCACGGCAAGCGGCGACTGCAAGGGCGGCAGTGCCCGGCTGGGCGGGGCTGCACCGCGGAGAACGGCGCGCGAGCTCAGACTGGGATGGTTCCGGGTGCCCGGAGCCGCCACCGCCGCCAACGCCGCCCGCGCCCACTCACCTTCCGAGCGGGAGGAAGCCGCCGCGCGCCGGCCGGAAGTGCCCTGCCCCGCCCCCTCCGCCCGGCCGGCACGCACTTCCGGGGCGCTCTGGGCCTAGGGAGGACCGCAAGCCTCGGTGGCCGCGTGGGGGCGGGGCCGGGAGCCAAGAGGAGGCCCCGCCCCGCCCCGCCCCACCCCTCGTGGGCTGCGCCCGAGCGTGTCCACGCGGGCCCGGATCGCGCCCTGGCGCCGGGAGCGGCGCTGCGTGGGTTGCCGGAGCCGGGGAGCTTCCTTCGTGACGCCAGGGCCCTGCGGCGCCGGGGAGCCAGCTGGGGGCCAGGCGCTCGTGCGTGCGCCCAGGACCGGGCTTCGGGAGCTGCCTGCGGCCCCTCCGTGCACGGCAGGCCCCGGGAGTTCTCGGCTGCAAGCGCTTCTACCTTCAGCTGGCGAGTCCACCCGGACGCCCTCCTGGGTTCCCTCCTCGGGATGTGTCCGCCGCGGTGGCCACCAGCCGCCGGGAACCGCTGCCAGACGTGTGACCTGCTGTTCCCCTCGCGGGGGGCCTCGGAGTCGTCGAATCTGCCTGCCCTCCAGGGGCGTCCCTGGGTTCCCCAAAGCCCCTCCATGGGCTGCTTCCTCATTTTCGTCTGTTCAGCTGATGTATAGAATCCTTCCATAGAACCATATAGTAGTTTGTAGTAGGAGGAATGCCTAGAGCAGTCACAGAACAGAAGCAGTACTGGGAAAACAGCCGGACCAGGAGGAGAACCAAAGACCCAGGCGGCAGCGTCCCTGCCTGAAAGGGCACACGCTGTATGGCAGGCTTGGAGCAGGAGCCTCTCCTCCCGATAAAGGAGCTGTAGCACCTTGCATCCAGTTCCTGTGGAAAGTCGGCCTCAGGCCTGAGATCCTGGAAGTAACCGAGGGAGAGGAACCCTCTGGTGTGACCAGGCAAGGCGGCTGTACACCCTGTAAGTCTCTTCCCGCTTCTGTGCTAGCCCAAATCATCGTCCCATAAATATCTTAAGAGAAGAGCACACGTCTGTCAGCTCCCACTGCATTAAGCTTACAGTATCCTTCTGTTAGAAATCCTTTTAAGTCTCCAGCCCCCAGATAAGAAGTGTTGTGCACGACACCTGCTGCACACAGCCCATCTCCTTGCCCCGGTGACCTAATGGGGTTGAACCCCTTTTCTGTACATGACCCTCTACTACTGCGCACGGCACAGCCCCCTACTGTGCACGGCCCACCTCTCTGCCCAGGTGACATAATGGGGTGGCCTCCTTGCTTGTGACTCCCGTGACTGTGATTGTTTGCCCTATCACTAAGCCTATAGATGATGACCTCACTCACAACCCTGCCCCCTGCTTGTACCTAATAAATGCAGATGCTCCTAGGCCGGGCGCGGTGGCTCAAGCCTGTAATCCCAACACTTTGGGAGGCCGAGGCGGGTGGATCACGAGGTCAAGAGATCGAGACCATCCTGGTCAACGTGGTGAAACCCCATCTCTACTAAAAATGCAAAAAATTAGCTGGGCGTGGTGGTGCGTGCCTGTAGTCCCAGCTACTCAGGAGGCTGAGGCAGGAGAATTGCCTGAACCCAGGAGGCGGAGGTTGCGGTGAGCCGAGATCGCGCCATTGCACTCCAGCCTGGGTAACAAGAGCGAAACTCTGTCTCAAAAAAAAAAAAAAAATTGCAGATGCTCCTGAGCATTCGGGGCCGTGCCAGTCTCCACTCACAGGTGGCGTGGCCCCCGAGTCCAGCTGCTCTTCTCCAGTTCTTCAGTGTCCTGTCTCTTTACTTCTTGGATCCTGCACCTCAGCACAGCATAAGGGACGCCCCACGACCCTGTGGGGCCAACAGCCCTACACCTGACCTCAGGTGATCCCCCCACCTCGGCCTCCCGAAGTGCTGGGTAACATGCGTGAGCTACCGCACCTGGCACCTCTTCTCTGTAACTGGCCCAGCCTCAGGTATTGCTTTACAGTGGTGCAAATGCACACAGAACCTACACCAGGAGCGCGGCAGACGCCGCAACTGACTGGGTCACAGGCTGCAGCCGCATTGCACCGCGCTGTGCACACTTACTGCACTGGGCTGACGCATTTTCGGGGGCAGCTGTGTGTGTACACAGTTCTTGACGTTCTGTCACGCACAGGCGGCTGTCACCGGCTCCCCCTGCTTCCAGCGCATCACAGGAAGTGAGTCCCTGAAGCTGCCGTCCATGTCGGCTGACCCATGAGGAGCCACGGGGCGCTTCACTCCCCAGGACCCTTGGACAGATCCTCAGCCTGGTTGGCTCACAGGAGTGAAGGGAGAAGGGAACAGGTGTGATCTGAGGGGAAGAACCCGCTTCCCCACCAGGGAGGTGTGAAGGTGACCGGCAGGGCTCTGGAGGGAGTGCGAGACCTGCTGATGTAACGAACGCAGAGCCAGCAGCCAGCCTGGTCTGTTCCGGCCACTGGTTCCTGCTCCTCACCTCCAGCAGGGCTCTGTTCACTGCAAATAATGAGCTGGTATTCCCTATGCTGGGGGGCGGGGGTTCGAGCCCAAACAACCCCAGAGCCCCTGGTCTTAAGTTGTGGGAGTTGGCCCAAAGCCCCCCCAGGCCCGTTGCCTATTCTCTTGGGCTGTGAATTAGAAAAGGCCTCCATAGGCTTCTTTTGTTGAGATCAGGGAATTCAGTGCCCGATCAGATACCCGCACAGGCCTGGCCTGCTCCAGCCAGTGCTGCTGGGGTTGGGGTGAGGGTGCCATCTGGACAGGCAGTGCCCTTGTCTCTAGTGGTCCCTAGAGACAAAGCTTCCCTGGCAGGAGGGCTGGTCAGAGCCCCGGAGCCACTGGAGTCCGAGGGCTGAGAGCGCTTCCTAGATCACACCTGGAGACTAGGGACTCAGAGGACCACTTAAGCTTAAGGTTCAAGAAGACTTCTCTAAGGGGCAGCATCAGGGAGAGATGGGGTGGGAGCAGGAAGGAGGGAGGGGAGGCGGCAGAAGGGAGCGGCCAGCCCGACACACAGGGGCAAGAGGGGCACACTGGGCAGGGGCGCACGGGCAGAGGTCTGAGTGGCCTGGGGCTTGAGTGTGGAAGACCGGGTGGGGGAGGGTGGTGAACAAGAGGACAGACGGGGACAGGGATGGATGGACTCAGCGGCCTTGTAGCCTCCATTGGGGGCTCGGGCGTCTTTCTCAGGGCACTGTGGGGCACAGGGGTCTGCAGGGAGGGAGGGAGGAGAGCTGTCACACACTCCCAAGACCCACCTGGGGCTGTGGGGTAGAGAAGAGCAGGACAGAAGGGAGAGGGGGTCACTGGCTGCAGTCCCCTGCACGTGACACAGCTGGCGGTGAACAGAGAAGGCCTGAGTCCCAGGCCAGGATGCGGTTGAGGAAGCTTTAGGCTGGGGCAGGGCGGGGCAGAGACGAGGGCCATCTTGGGTGTTGTCCTCAAGTCGAGAAAGGAAGTGGAGCACGCGTGCCTCTCATCAGCTGCCATCCTGCCAAGCCGGCCTCTGCGTCGCCTTGCTGGCTTGGTTGTGGGGGAAGGAGAGTTGGGGGGGTGTTCTGGTCACACGTGTGAAGGCGTCACCAGTCCTCACATCTCCAGCCACCGCAGAGGCGTGTTCCTGTAGGAGCGACCGCTCCGTGCCTTTCCAGCCTCTGGAACCTCCGGCATCTCTGGGCTATTCCCTGGGGCCTTGAGAGCCACCTTTCCGGTCCGTTCCTTTGTTGTCACGGAGTCTAAATCTGTATCTCTCCCCGGGGCACTGTTGGCATCTGGGCAGGATACCCGCACATCCCCACCTCTGTGCACCACATTCCAGAGGGACCCTGCCCAGCCTTGCCCGCCAACACTGTCCTGGACATTGCTGGGTGGCCCCCGGGGGGCAGAAGTGCCCTTGGTTGAGAGCAACTGCCTTAACTCGAGCCAGGGAACAGAGGACCAGGCAAAACCGAGAGCTGTTTGGAATTCAGAGGGCCTGATGACAGGGCCTCGGGAAGGCGTTCAGCACCCCCCGGCCTCCTGTGGGGCGTCCTGAGAACAGGCACTAGGCCACCGAATGAACCCTTAGCTTCCCAGGTATCTGGGGCCAGAAAGGCGTGAGGGTATTTCCGCACTGAAAAGGGGCTGCTCCCATTGTTAGTGAACAACTCTCTGATTCATGTGTCGATCTCCTGTGAGTCTAGCATATAGGGAGTGGTCCTGGGGAGACCCATCGCAGGCAGTGACCACCCAGGGTCCCGGGGTCCTGGGGAGACCCATCGCAGGCAGTGACCACCCAGGGTCCCGGGGTCCTGGGGAGACCCATCGCAGGCAGTGACCACCCAGGGTCCCGGGGTCCTGGGGAGACCCATCGCAGGCAGTGACCACCCAGGGTCCCGGGGTCCTGGGGAGACCCATCGCAGGCAGTGACCACCCAGGGTCCCGGGGTCCTGGGGAGACCCATCGCAGGCAGTGACCACCCAGGGTCCCGGGGTCCTGGGGAGACCCATCGCAGGCAGCCACCAGCCAGGGTCCCATAGTCCTGAGGGCCTGGGAAGCGGTCCCTGCACTGTTCCCTGGGAGGAAGCTGGTAGCCTTCATGGGGGATGTGCATCCCCATGACTGCATCCCCAAAGTGCAGAGATCAATGAAAGACAGCACTCGAGTCAGAAATCCATGTTTACTGCAGAGAACACAGAAGCCAGCAAGCAGCAGGGAAGGCAGGCGTCGGCAGTGGGCACGTGGGGCCGCCTGGGAACCACCGAAGACAGAGGAGGACACACACAGAGCAAGTCACAGGGAACGCGGCTGAAAACAAGTGATGCTTTTCCCAAATGCACAGGGCACTTAGGAAGGACAGATGGTCTGTCAGAGTAAAGCTCAACAGCTTTGGTTGGCAGGATGGTCAAACTTTCGGACAACAGAAGTAACAGTGGGAAACAGGACAACATCTGCCACCAGCGCAAGGCCAAGACCGCGGCTGTTACAGGGGGCCAGCGTCACGGTGCACGGGTGGCGGCTGCAGCACATGCGTGCCTGGGAAATGGGAGTGTTTGGACGTGCTGGGCGTCCAGCCTCACCAGGAAACAGGCACACGGGGACAGGCGCAAATGGAAAACCCTCGCTGCTCCACTCGGCTGAGCAGAGGTGATGGGGACACGGCGCTGTGCTCCCCACAAACTGGCCCCTGGGCCCCAGGGTGAGACAGGCGTGGAAGGTGCAGGCGTGTGGGTTGGGGTAGGGGCTGCCGGCTCAGAGGTGCGTCCAGGATCCCCCGTCAGGCAGGAGCCCTGCCCTGAGCCACCTACAGGGGTGACCGAGGGACAGCAGCATCAGGCCCGGTCCCGGCTGCGGAGTCACCCCCACCGCCATGCACCGTCCTGGGGATTCTGCCAAGGTGGGGGCCGTCTGCTTGGGCCGGGCTCCCTGAACACATGGCTGGGTTTTCGGAGGAAACCAGGGAGCGCCAACGCCAGGCTCTGCGGGCCAGGGGCTCCCCGCCGGCTGATGCAGAGCACACCCCACCTTCCCTAGTCCCTGGAGACAGCCTGCCCACCATTGCCTCGGCTCTGCTCCCCTGGAGACACTGCCCTCAAGGCCTGTCTTCCTCTACAGCAGGTTTTGACATCAGCTCATTCACAGGAAAGAAACATCTCAGTGCCCAAAACGGGGACCCATAGGAGAGATCACTGGACACAGAGCCCAGGTGCACCCAGGGCTCCCCAGAAATGCAGGTGAGCCCCATCAGAGCCAACAGGCCTAAGTTGCTGATCGACCTTTCTGCTTCCCGGTGTGGAAAAGGAACAGAGGCCCAGAGGAGGAGGACTCTGCTGGAGCGGCCGGCGGCGTCCCCAGACCTCCATTGCGGGGGCTGGCCGGGAGCCCCCCTCCCTGTACTCACTGCTCTCCTGAGAAAATGGCTCAGGGATGAGGCCTGGGGGGACAGATGCTGGCATAGCTCACAAATGCTTGCACAAAGGACACACAGAGCAAAGTCACAACATTTGGAGGTTCTCTGCATTCTCAGGCCCGAAGAGCCTGGCCGGCCAATGAGGCTGGGAGGGGGTGCCTGCTGGTCAGGGCGGCTGAGCGAGGCTGTGTAGATGGTGCCTGCTGGTCAGGGCGGCTGAGCGAGGCTGTGTAGATGGTGCCTGTCAGGACTGCCGAGCGAGGCTGGGTGGGTGGTGCCCGCTGGTCAGGGCGGCTGAGCGAGGCTGGGTGGGTGGTGTCTGCTGGTCAGGGCGGCCCAGGAAGTGCTGCCCAGGCAGACCCTGGGGCTAGGTGCATGCACCATGCTCCTGAGAAGCTTGTGGGCTGTGGGTTTAATGTTCATTGAGAACATGAACACTTGGCTCAAGGATTCTCAGTCTCCCCAGTATACTTCTGAGATGCCAGGAAGGTTCCGATTCATCAGGTTGATTCCTGAGACTCCCCTCCAGGGTGGCCTCACTGGAGTCAGGAGCCCCTGCCCCACACCCCCACTGCCCAAGTAGGATGGCTTTGCAGCAGCCTGAGGACACCGAGTGCCGAGGTCACTGCTGCCAAGTTGGCCGCTGTGGTGATCTGGACCTCTGAGGAAGTCTGGGAGCCAAGTGAAAGCCCTGCAGCGATTTCCCGCCGTTTCAGAGGGCGCCTCCCTGCACGCACTCTGCGGCAGACTGCCCTTCCCGGGCCAGGAGCCCGCTGCACAGAAGGAGCTTCCTTTTCTCTCTTCCGAGCGCTTTTCTCCTCTTTTTCTTCATCTCTGCTCCTCCTCTGAACTGAGGAGCAGGCAATTTTTGTTAGTTTTGAGGTTGCTTCTCATGTATATTTCATCTGGAATTTCCTGCTTTGGGGCTAATCTGCTCTACCAGCCTGAAAAGGACAAGAAATATCTCTGAGTACGTGAGAAGTGCAGTTATTACCTGGTTCCTCTGCTGGTAAGGACCACACTATGAAAGCAAGAGAACTGCTTGGGCGGAGTGGAAACAGGTACCCGGGGGAGACGGAGGCCAGGGTGGGGGCCTGGGATCAGTCGGGGTGTGGAGGGGGTGTTAGGCCTGCGCACCCCAGGCCTGGATGGCACCAGCTTCAGGAGGAAGTGCTTCCTCTTTCCTAAAAGTGTTTAGGATGGTGGAAGGGTGTCAGACCGGTAAGCTGAGTGTATATGACATGATCCTTGAAGCACCTACAGCAAACGCCCACTCACCCTCCATCGGTGTCAGAGCCAGACACCACCCAGGGGCCCGTGCCCGGTGCCCGCCCCTGTCCTGAGTTCTGCGTGAACCACACTTTTGCTCGTCTCTGCAGTTCCACCACGTGTCCCCAAACCACACACTGTTTTGCTTGGTTTGAACGTCTCGGTGGTTAGAATCGCGCGGTGTCTTCTGTGCCTTACACTCTGCTCACTGTCGAATCTGGCATGTGTAGGTGTTGATGCGGGTCCTGGTCAGCTGCGCGGTCACTGCGCCAACAGCTTCCCTCGGTCAACACACCATGATTTACCCGCTTTGCTGCCGACAGGCACGTGGGTTCTTTCTGGCTTTTCTGATAGCGCACACTGTGAATGTTACTTTGTCTCTGGCTGTGTGCACGCCCGTTTCTCAAGGGTCAGTCAACAGGTGGTTCATGGGAGCAGGAACGCATGTCTTCACCTTTGCCAGACTGCTCTCTAGATGTGTGCTGCCGCCCAGCGCTGCGGCGGTGAGGAGGGCTCCCGCCCCGCCCATGCCACGATCAGACTTCTCCGTCTGTACCTCACTGGGGCACAAAACTGGATCTCTTTGTTGTTTTGACTTGTGCTCCGTTAGAGACCCCGCGTTTTCCCGCGCTCCCTGACTGTTAGGGACCGCACCTGTTTCCCATTCTCCCTGTAGAGACCGCACGTTTCCCGTGCTCCCTGTTAAGAGACTGTGTGTTTACGTTTCCCGTGCTCCCTGACTGTTAGAGACCGCAAATGTTTTCAGGTATTTATGAGAAGAAAACATGCATGTTTTCTTCTGTGATTTCTGCCCGTTTTTCTTTTTTCTAGAGATGGGGTCTCGCTGTGTTGCTTGGCTGTTCGTGAACTCCTACTCTGGTCATTTTTCTAGATACTTGCCTTTAAAAACCCTGGTTCCTATGAATGCTGCACACATTCTGAACACGTGTCCTTTGTGGCCGCAGTGGTCAGGGTAGGTAACCGTGGCTGGGATAACAGAGAAGCTCCGAATCTCAGCGTCTCGCTCGGGAAGGCTTCACTTCTGGCTCCCATCACAATGGGGTCTTGAGGCTCTCCCGAGGGCGACTCCAGGACATGGCTCCTTCCCTTGGTGTGTGGCTTTGCCATCTCAGAGTTCTTCTCCATCAGTCGCAGGAAGGGAAGAGAGTGGATGATCACAGGAACATTCAGGAGGCCAGGCCTGGAAGAGGCGTCCGTCACTCCTGCTCATGTTTGCAGGACTGATGCAGTGGTACAATCACAGTTCACTGAAGCTTCCACTTCCCAGGCTCAACTGATCCTCCTGCCTCAGCTTTCCAAGTATATGGGACCTAGGCGCACCCCACCACACCTAATTTTTAATTTTTATTAGAAATGAAATCTATGTTGCCCAGGCTGCTCTCAAACTCCTGCGCTCAACTGATCCTCCTACCTTGGCTTCCCGACGTGCTGGGATTAAAGGCGTGAGCCACAGTGCCTGGCCTGCAAGTGCTTGGTACCTTTTTTCACGTGTATGTGTACGACTGACACTGAACTGTAATTTTGACATCCAGATTATACTAGCTTCGTAAGATAACACAGGGCGTGCTTCTTGTCTGGGTAAAACCGGAGTTCTCTGTTTCTTGAACTCACTAGCAAAGCACCTGGACTTGGTATTCTTTGGGAAGACCGAGAACCATCCACACAATCTCTGTAACGGCTGTGGGTTCTGTGGGTCTCCTCGAGCTGGGCTGCCACGTGACCTTCCTCCCATGGTCCGGCTGTGACAGTGGAGTTCTCACTGCGTCAGCACAGGGCTTTCTCACCTTTCCAGCGTCGGATGTGGCTGAACGGTCCTCCCTTCCCATTCCTAATGGTTGATTTGCTCCTTCTCTGTGTCTTGGTCATTTTGGCACAGGATGTCAATTTGAATAGTTCTTTCAAAGAATCAACTCTTAGCTCTTCTGTTCTCTCAAGGGTGTCTGTTGTCATTAATTGTATTAATAAGTGACTTTATTAATTTCCTCCTTTCCATTGGGAGCTTGTTTGGCCTTTTTCTTTCTTTCTTTTTTTTTTTTTTTGAGACGGGGTTTTGCTCTCTTTACCCAGGCTGAAGTGCAGTGGTGTGATCTCGGCTCACCGCAACCTCCGCCTCCCGGGTTCAGGCAATTCTCCTGCCTCAGCCTCCTGAGTAGCTGGGATTACAGGCATGCGCCACCATGCCCAGCTAATTTTTGTATTTTTAGTAGAGACGGGGTTTCACCATGTTGGTCAGGCTGGTCTTGACATGATCCACCTGCCTCGTGATTACAGGTGTGAGCCACCGAGCCCGGCCTTCTTTTTCTACCTGTTACACCGGGTACTTCCCTCCTGACTCCCAGCTCCTCTCCTAACAGCAACAGAGGCACGCAGGGCTGGACCCTGCCCTCGGCTTCCACTGCCTCAGGCGCTCTGTTAAGTCGTATGATCACTGAGCTGTAAGTGTTTTATAACTTTCATTATGTTTTTTCTTTGACCTGGGTCATTTAGGTTTTCTCTTCCTGGAGTATGAGCTTCATTTAGACAACAAAACACCAAAGCAGAGCTCGGCCTAGAAGGCCCGGCTTCAGTTCTTGGTCTTGTTGTGATGTCAGGAGTTCAACTGTCTGTGCCAAATGACAGGGGCAAAAAAGATGGCAGACTGGTTTGGATTGGTTGTGCGTTTTTTCTCATAACCATAAATGTTAAAAAAAAAAACTTCCAGGCCGAGCATGGTGAGGGCAGTTCACTGGAGGTCAGAAGTTCAAGACCAGCCTGGGAACATGATGAAACTCCACCTCTACTAAAAATACAAAACATTAGCTGGGTGTGGTGGCGGGCAGCTGTAATTCCAGCTACTTGGGAGGCTGAGGCAAGAGAATCACTTGAACTGGGGAGGCGGAGGTTGCAGTGAGCCAAGATCATACCACTGCACTCCAGCCTGGGCAACAAGAGCAAAACTCCATCTCAAAAAAAGAAAATTTCCAAGTACATTAAAAAAAAATGTACCTTTGGCTGGACTCGGTGGCTCAGGCCGGTAATCCCAGAACTTTGGGAGGCCGAGGCAGGCAGATCACAAGGTCAGGAGTTCAAGACCAGCCTGACCAACATGGTGAAACCCTGTCTCTACTAAAATACAAAAAAATTAGCTGGGCATGGTGGCACGTACCTATAATCCCAGCTTCTGAGGAGGCTGAGAGAGGAGAATCGCTTGAACCCGGAGGCAGAGGTTGCAGTGAACCAAGATCGTGCCACTGCACTCCAGCCTGGGTAACAAAGCGAGACTCTGTTTCAAAAAAATGTGTCTTTTATTTTTGAGACAGGGTCTTGAGGCAGGTCTCGAACTCCTGGCCTCAAGTGATCCTCCTGTCTTGGCCTCCCAAAGCACTGGGTTTATAGGTGTGAGCCACCGCATCTGGCCCGGTGTATCTTTTGTTGTAGTTTTCCATGCGATTTTTTGTTGAAGCCAGCTCCCTCATCTTACCTGGAAAGGTATCCAAGGCTGTCAGCTTGCATGGCCGCCCCCTCGTGTGTGAACAAACAGCGGATCTCATTAAGCACACTGGCACGCAGGCGAGCTAACATGGCCACACAGTTAGCAGGCTCCAGTGCCGTGCGTACGACCTCAGTATTAAGGCTTTGGATTCCCTGAGACCCTGTGCGGTTAAGCATCGTCAGCACCACCACTTCACACCTGGGGAAACTGAGGCAAAGGTCCCAGAGCTCCAGAGTGAAGGGTCAAGTCCACAGCCCCTGACTCCAGAGCTGTGCTCTTCACCACCTACCTCCACCCTAGAAGTCAAAGATATCAGATTAAAGTGAGTTTGGGATCAGGACCCACCTGCCCGCGGCTACAGAGGTGGAGATGGCCCGCCCAGCTGTGCGCTGCTGCAGGCTTCTCTGTGGGCAGGACCTGGGGCCGGCACTTGGTGAGGTGTCATTCCGCATCTGGGGTCCATCCTGTTGGCCCTAAATATGGAAAAGGTATTTATTGTGGCATTATTTATAATGACCTAGGTTGAAAACAGCCCACATGCCCATGTTGGGAAGTGGATAAGTCACCTGTGCCTTTTCGATTCAACTGGTCATTGAGTGGGCATTCAAAGTAATGCTTCCCATTGGCAGTACAGGAAAAGCAATGACCATACTATTTTAAGTAAAATCAAACCAAATGCAGACACCACCAGGGCGTCCTGCCAGTCTCCTGGGCCATCCTGACAGCTGTGTCCACACCTGCCCCCTCCCCGGTGCATCCCAACAGACAGCAGAGGACGCCTGCCATGAGCAGCTCCCCGCCCCGCACCCTGGTTTCTTTCCTGTGTCCGAGTTCCTGCGTTCCTGACTTCTGGCGCCTGCTCTTCCCTGCCAGCAGCTAATTCTGAGGGGTGCTAAGACACAGAGGATTGGGAACTGTGATAGTTCATTCTGTGTTACTCTAAAGGCTGTGGGGAGGGGAGCAGGTGCACCACACAGCAGGAGCGGGAGCAAGAGGCATGAGAGGTGGCACCAGGCTCTTTAATCCTGGAGCCTCCAACCTCCAGAGCGGCCCATGGCTAGAACAGGCCGCACAGCAGGAGGTGAGTGAGCACGGGCCCCCTGAGCTCCGCCTCCCGTCAGATCTGCAGGCATTGGCTTCTCACAGGAGCATGAACCCCACTGTGAACTAGGGATTGAGGCTGCATGCTCCTTATGAGAATCCAATGCCTGATGATCTGAGGTGGAACAGTTTCATCCTGAAACCACCCACTCTCCCTCTCCATGGAAAAAACTGGTCCCAGGAGCCAAAAAGGCTGGGTACCACTGCTTTAAAGAACTAGTGCTCACATGAACCTAGAGTGAGAACTCACTGCTGTGAGGAAGGCTCCAAGCCGGCCCAAATGCCTCTGGCCAGGGCCCTTTCAGCCTGGGAATCACATTTCCACATAGGATCTGGAGGGGACAGACGTCCAAACTACACCAGGAGTGAGCTCTAATGCACCCTTCTAGGACAGGGTTGGCAAGTCATGGCCCTCAGGCCAAATCCAGCCCACCTACTTTTGTAAATAAAGTTTTATTGGCACACACCGCACTCGTTCACTCGTGTCATTTATAGCTGCCGCTGCCCTACACAGCAGGGTGAAGTGATAAGGCACAGGCCGTATGGATTCAGTGCCAGGAATGTTTACTGTCTGACCTTTCATCGGAAAAGTTTGCCAACGTGTGTTCTAGATTCCCCAGTGACTGACATTTAGCAGTCTCCTCTCACTTTCGGGGTACACACGCACACACTGCTGGAGTGAACTGCAGACGTCAGGCTCCACGGCCGAGCGCCTCAGGGTGCATCCACAGGAGGAGGACGTCCGTGAGGACTGCCCATCCCTGCTGAGCTGGTGCCGAGTGTGCCTGGTCTACACTCAGCTCTGCCAGACGCCCAGCGGTCCTTCACAGCAACTCTTCCGATCCAGGATCACACATCGCATGTGCTTTGATGCCTGCTTGTGAACAGTTTCAGCTCCTGAGATGACTATTTCTGAGAACAGGAGTCTTCCTCTCCTGGTGACAGCTGGCTGAGGCCGTCTGGCCTTAGGACACACTGGAAACAGCTGCATAAGGACATCCGGAGCAGGGGGCCCACCAGGACGTTCTGCCCTGTGGGGGGCAACGCTGGTCGTGGTCCTTGGTGGCATCCAGGGACGGTCTATCCAGGTGAGGCTGAGGCTGCCCCCACTCCGGCTTTCTCACCCCCATGCTGACAGCAGTGGGCTGACCACAGCCCCAGGGAGCCCCACGGGAAGACTGCCTCCTCAGCACACGCCCAGCAGTGTGGGACGTGGCCGCCACAGAGGCCGGTACCTGACACCACGGGATGTGGATGCCACCTAGTCCCCACTGGGACCATGGGCCACTGAGAAGCCACAGAGGCCATGCTTTTGGCAGTGACTGCAGCAACAGGACCTTCAGGAGGCCACAGGTGCCATGGCTCCCCTCTGGTGGTTCACCTGCCCAGCTGTGCCCAGGGTCACCCCTCCAGTGCGGTCCTGAGAACAGAACACCCCCTAGGCAACACGACTGATGAGGGCCAACACAGCCTCCACCCAAACAAGGAAAGGCCGTGCAGTGAGCGCAGCCACACCTGAGGCTGGGGTGTGGCGGGGGCGGGGCCTTCCAGGTGGACCGGGCTGCCTGGGTCCACAGCCGGCCCAGGACCGAGAGTTGCCTGACCTCAGACGGCCCGGCAGCCATCTGAGAGATGCTGCCCTGCAATATGGGAGGTGCAAGCAGGTGACACGTGGGCTCTGGGAGCTGCTGTAGAGAAAGTGAACCAGGCCAGAGGCGAAGCCAGTGTGGGTGACAGTGCTGCTCTGGGATTTAGGGGTTTTATTTTCCAGTTCTAGGCTATTTCTATTTCTCCGGGGAAAGGGAGGTGAGAGACACATCTGTGACTGCAGCCCCCGGGCAGTGGGCACGAGAGAGGCCGGGTAGCCTCCCCACGATACTGCAAGTGGCAGCACTCAGGGCCGCCTGCCACGGAACAGGCTCCTCAGAGTGGGCCAGCAGCAGGAGTGGCTGCGAGAAGAGACATGCTCTGCTGTGGAATGTGCTTCCAACACCTCTGAGAGCAGGGATTGAAGCCTCCCCCTAGTGGGAGGGGAGGCCTGCCAAGGGGCCCCTTTCCGAGTGACCCCACAGTGGCTGAGCTGGCACGGGGCCTACACAGGCGGGCAGGAACATTACGGCTCTCAGAAAGACTGCAGCAGCAAAAATGTGTTAACCCAGTGAACGTTTCTACCCAGACCTGACTGTTCTCCATCACCTGGGTAGCGTCCCCTACTCAGTTTCTGACACTGCTCAGTGGACAAGACCAAGGCCATCTCCAGCTCGAATCGGGACTCTCCTTCCAGGACAGAATCCCCAGACTAGGGCCGTGATTAGGGTTTCACGTCTCAACAGCTGAAAGCACAGGTGCCAGCGTTTCCCAGTCAACAGCCTATCGCCTCCCGGCTGACAAAGTCATTTGCTACTCTCTTCTGAACCACAGTCCCTGGGGAGCACAGAGCCCCTCCCACTACGCTCCTGGATGGACCCCAAGGATGGCACAGACCTGTGGACTTGCCCATGGGGGGACAGGACTGGGTACAAGCACGCAGAAGTGGAACTAACCTGAATGACGGGCTGGTCCGTGGGGCTGGGAAACACTGCCGACATCAGAAGGCCGAGCGGCAGATGCAGGCTGGACTGAGCTGCCGAGGGCATCTGGTGGCCCCACCAGGTGGCTGGGGCAGGAAGCTCAGCAGGTGGCGGTGTCCAAGGTCCTGAGGAGCCTTTGTCCCAGGAAGTCCATCCAGGTAAGTCAGGAAGCCTGTCTGGGATGAAGGCTGGCCCAAGAGGGCACGTTGTGTGGCCCAGTTCCAGGGACGGGGGTCTGAGCTCAGGGACTCGTACTCCAGTCAGAGGAGAGAAGCCAGAGAACCAAGCACAGTTTGGGCACAAAGTCTAGGCAGGGATGAGAGGCTCCAGGCTCTGAAGCTGGCCAGGCAGGGAGGAGCGGCCCCGGGCACTGAAGCTGACCAGGCAGGGAGGAGCGGCCCCGGGCTCTGAAGCTGACTGGGTAGGGAGGAGCGGCGCCGGGCACTGAAGGTGACCAGGCAAGGTGGAGCGGCCCCGGGCTCTGAAGCTTGACTGGGTAGGGAGGAGCGGCCCCGGGCACTGAAGGTGACCAGGCAGGGAGGAATGGCCCCGGGCACTGAAGCTGACCAGGCAAGGTGGAGTGGCCCCGGGCTCTGAAGCTGACCAGGCAGGGAGGAGCTGCCCGGGCTCTGAAGCTGACCAGGCAGGGAGAAGTGGTCCTGGGGCTTGCTGCAGAGCTTGGGGCCCCAGCAGGTGGGGAGACCACAGACCAGGGCCTTCAGGGGCAGATGAAAGGCTTGAGCAGAGTGGATGTTACAGGCAGGCAGCAATGGGAAGTGGTGGGCGCCCAGCAAACCAAGGAGCCTCTCCTGCTGGGCGCTGTGAGGTGACCCAAGCTCGTCCCGTGGATGGCAGTGAAGACACCTGGTCTCTGGTGCTAAGCCCTGGGAGCCATCGAGGAACTTGGACAATGGTCTGTGGTTGCAAGGAGCCTCTGGTGGCTTCCACATGACTGCAGCATCTTGATCTAGAGATTCTCTGCAGTGGGAAGGTCTCTCACTCAGGCATTCTCACCTCTGACCAGGCTGATTTTCCGGGGGTCCCCCAGGGCACAGAACACAGCGCACGTGGCCCAGAACCTCCACCGGACGCCCAACACCAGGGAGCCACAGAGCAGGCGTCTGAGTCTGCAGACGGCTGCCCCAGCTCAGGGATTCTTCCGAGGGTGGCGTTTCCGATGGCGGATGAGACAGGAGCTGTAGGCAAAGGCTTTCCCACAGTCCATGCACTCATATGGCTTCTCCCCGGTGTGCGTCTTCTGATGTTTCAGGAGATTGGAGCCGCAGTTAAAGGCTTTCCCGCACTCCCCGCATCTGAAGGGCTTCTCCCCCGTATGAGTCCTCCGGTGTTTGGTGACGTCAGAGCTGTGTCGGAAGGCCTTCCCGCACTGCGCACAGGTGAAGGGCTTCTCTCCGGTGTGGACCCTCTGATGGCGAATGTGGTCTGTCTTGTGCTTAAAGATCCGCCCGCATTCACCGCACTCATAGGGTTTCTTCCTCTGAAAAGGAATGAAGACGGGAACCCCCTCAAAGTCATCTTTAAATGAAGCGTCGAAGGCATCAAAGATGTGCTCTTCATCTTCAGGACTCAGGCGGGGCTCTGCTCGGGCCTTCCTGGGCACAGTGGATCTCTCAGGTGGCTTCCTATCCCTGGACACTTTCTCCTCTCTGAGGACGTTCTTCTGCCCGTCTGCTTCCTCCCTCAGGGTCAGCGTCCTCTTTCTTCTGCCTGCAGGCTTCTCCATCGTTCTCTGTTCCTTGGAAGCGTTGAGGGCTAGGGGGCTGCTGGCTTCTCTCTGCCGGCGCCACTTCCTCAAGAATGGTTTGCTTCCCAAGCACCTCTAAATGCTTGCAGCGTGGGGCCTCCGCTCTGCAGGAGGCCAAGGGCCACCATCCTCTTGCTGCTGGGCAGAAGCAAGAACACTGCCATCAGATGAAAAGGTCACCTTTCAGGGCCCGTGGGGTTCTGGTGCAGCTCCTCCCTTCCCATGTATTCCCCAATGAGTGACTCAAAACAGAACAGCTGACTTCCCCAGAGCCCCACCTGATTCACTCTCCCAGCCTTTCCTTGTTTTGTTGAAGGGATCAGTGGCTCACCAAGGAATCCTTCCTCCTCTGCCAGGGTTCAGGGTCTGCATGCTGTGAGGATCTGACGCCCCCACCGACTGCCCCATGGTGTCCCTCCTCCACCCGAGTCCCCCTGGTTCCTGCCCTGGTCTCCTTCTCTACCAAACCGGGCTTGGGATCAGTCACCGTGCTTTGGAGCTACGGCTGCAGGGGCCACATGCTCCCAGTGGAAGCTGGGTTCCGAACTCATGAAACCAGGGCTGTCCCCGCCCCTGCCACGGCCCACAGCAGCTGGCAGACCCCCTCGTATCGCATCCTGGCTCAGACTCCTGGTGGTGTCCCTCATACCACGGGCCCCACATGCCCTGCCTGGGGCCACACCCATCCCTTGGGAACCCCCTTGCCACCCCAGCCTTCTTTAGTTTCGCCAAACACACCTAATTCCTCCTGCCTCACCTGGCTGGCCCCTCAACTTTCTGCTCTGATGCCCCCTTCTTAAGGAACCCCCCGCCGCCAGCTTCCCTGCCCTACTTTTCCTCCCAGCACATGAGAGGGGCTAAACTCCTCTGGGTGGTTTGCTCTCTGTTCCAAAGGCCTGCCACGGCTCCTGGCACACCAAGGTTTCTTGTCAAATATTGGTTGAATAACTGAGAAACCACACCAGCAGCTGTCACTTACAGCATGTCCCCTGCTCTAAGCTCTTCACAAATCTCCGTATCATTAATCTCATCTTCGACATCCCTTCCCCAGGTCACACTCGAGGCAGCGCTGGGATGCCCAGGCCTGTTCTCACTCGGATGCAGGCTGCAGCCCCGGGGACTGTTGGCTGGGACTTGGCTTGCATTGTTTGAAGGTTACCCCATGGAAATGTCTCTCGTTAGCGCTCGGGGGAAGAGAGAGATTCCTGTCCGCGATGCCATCTAATTGCAGCCCAATCTTGCCATGAGCCCAACGAGAATCAATCAACCCCAGAGGCCGGAGGCGACAGGAAAGGTGCGACGTGGAAGCCTCAGTCGGAGGCCCTCCCTCCACTGTGGAGCCCTGCTCTGTGCTGTTTCTGGGCTCCCTTGACCTGCCCTTGCCACTCAGTGGCAACAGAATCCCAGTGGAAAGCCTTGAAAACCGCCAGGCTGGAAGCTGCTGGTGAAAGAAATCTCTGAGACTGTGGAAAACTGCTTCCTCTGCAGCTCCAGGGAGAGCAGACGGCGTTTCAACTTCAAACCGCTCCTGCTGAGCATGCCGGGAGCCCCTGGGACTGACCCTTCCTCTCATCCACCAGGAAGCCTATCATTCTCACCATCGCCCTACCCCACGGCGGCATTCATTTTTTTTCTTGAGACAGGTTCTTTCTGTTGCCTTGGCTAGAGTGCAGAAGCATGACTGCAACTCACTGAAGGTTCAAGATCCTGGGTTTAAGCGATCCTCCCCTCAGCTTCCCGAGTAGCTGGGACCGTAGGTGTGAGCCACCACGCTCAGTCGTATTCTAAGTAATACTATTGTGTACCATTTGTATTAGCTCTTGGTGAACCAGGCTGGAGTTTGCGGCCAGTGTTGAGCCTAAGCGGAAAATGGAGCTGAAACACATGTTGCAAATGACACATTTCAACACATAAATACCTTGAATTCTCTTTGTTAAGTCGAGACAAGGTTTGTGGTCTTTCCTCCTCTCCCTCATGAGTGCAGGTAACATACAAACAGGTTTCCTATCTTAACAAGGAGAGAGTCTGGTCCTTTTTACAGGAAAATGTTTAGATGAATGTGACTCAGTTTCAGGCCAATATCACTTTCTAGGGCTCTATCTAGAGGTGGTGTGTGGGAGGAGGCAGATCAGGTGGGCGCCAGAACCGAAGCTGAAGGCCATGTGTATTGAGGGAGGATGCAACAGCTCTGCTGGGGTGGGCAGGGGGAGCCCTGGTGCCCAAGCTGGCTGGAGTTTGAGGTTGGGGTCCAGCTGTGGTAGGAAAGAAAAGTGAGAACCAAGAACCAACACAAAGACCAGTCGACCAGCTCAGTTTGCATCATGGGCAGGGGTGAGGTGAAGCGCAGCTCTCCAGGGTACGGCGGAGACTCATCTGGCTCTCTGCAGAATCCACTCCATGGAGGGGCGGTTTGTGAATGCACTGAGCCTGACACGTGCTGCCCAAGGCCTGGGTGGGAGTCCTCTGTGCCACAGCACCGTTCCCTCTTCTGGACACTTGTAACTGGATGTGGCTGGGCACTGACATGGCAGCCTCCTTACGCAGCAGGCGCTCCTGAAGGCGAGGATGTCTTTTTAATCTCCAAATCCTGGTCACATGCTGTGCTCAAGGAACATTCTCCATTATGGTCTTGTCGACCCAACTCAGGCTGGTAGGCGCTAAATGGCAGACTGCAATGACTCACCTCTCTACACGCTGCCCATCCTGATAAATACTTTTAAAGTCGGATTGTCTTGGCCTCACCTCACAGGCCTGTAGACAGGAGTGATTAGCTAGTCCCAGACAATGCAACCCACGCTTGTCAGAGCCCCAGAGGGTAGGGTTCTGGTTCTGTCGTGCAACTCCAGCATAGCTCCGTCGCCTCTCTGGACCGACGACCCTTCACTAGTAATACGAAGCTCTGGGTATCTATGGGCGGTAGGGGCTGCCTGGGAAACCTGACTCACCCTGGCGCCTCCCTCCGCTGCCTTCAGGGATCTGGGTCTCATGGAGAGACGGGAACATTCGTGGGCTTGAGATTCAAGGGCAAACTGCACTGAAACAGCCTGATGGGTCCACGGCCTACCAGGCGCCAGCCAGCTGTGCCAAGGCCTGGGATGCCAGGCCTCTGAGCCAGGCGGAGGGGCCCGCCGGGGTCTCCTGCGTGCTGCTACTTAAGAGACCCCCTGTCCAACGGCAGGGCCCCGCGGCCCGCGTGCGGAGCCAGTTCGGCCTCGGTGCCGGGGCCGGGGCCTGGGAGGTGCTCAGAGCCGGGTCTCGCTCCCTCCCTGGAGGGCCGGGCGCGGGGAGACCGCGGGGCCCATCCGGACGCCGCGCGACCTGGGACGGAGGCGGCGGGCGGGGCCCAGTGAGTACCTGGCTGGAGACGGGGGGCGACGAGGACCTGCCGCTGCAGAGCGCGGACGCGCCCGGGCCCTGCCAGGACCCCGGAGGGCGGGACGGCGGGGGCAGGGCACGAGAAAGCGGTGCCTTCTTCGCGGGGCACCGCACCGCTCCGCGGCCGCGTCCCGGTTGGCCCTCAGCACTCGCAGGAAGAGCGCACCTGCTGACCCGCCCCTTCCGGTGGCCGCGCTAGGACCCGGGGTCGGACTCGGTGGTAACGGGCGGCGGAGGGCTCGGCCCGAGCTGGCTCCACCCACAGACGACTCCGCCCCCGAAGGCCACGCCCCGATCAGACACCGCACTCTCAGGTTCCGCCCCTAACCACCGCCGCAGGTTCCTCCCCGAGCTGACCCCGCCCCCTCACAGTCCTCTATGACAGGCGTCCTGCCGAAGGCCCCGCCCCAAGCAGGCTCCGCCCCAAGCGGGCCCCACCTCCGAAAGCTCCTCCCCGAGCCGGCTCCCGGTATGCCCCACCCGCCCGGCCTCCGCCCTCATGCCCCGCCCCTGAGAGGCCCGCTCCCGAAGGCTCCTCCCGGAGCCGCCTCCCCCTCATGCCCCGCCCCACAGGCTCGGACCCCCCCCCACACACACCCCGCCCCCACACTTCACCCCTGAGAGCCCCGCCCCTAACTGGCCCCCTCATGCCCCGCCCCGTCGTGAAAGGCCCGCCCCACAAGGCCCCGCCCCCGCAGCAGCCGGCCCCGCCCCTAGGTTGCGTCCACCGGCTTCCCAGGCCTGACGCGCGTGGGCTCCTGGCTCCGGGTCCACAGTCGGGAGGTCGCGGCCGCGTGCCGGGAGCCTTGTCCCTGAGGACGCTCCCCGCCAACCCCAGCCCTAACCCCGACCCCGCGGCCCCCGCCGCTTCTCCCGCGGTGGCAGCCCCTGGGGAACCAGCCACGTGCTGCCCGCCCAGGTCGCGCCGCGCCGCCAGGCCCGCCGGAGCCCCGTGTGTTCGTTCCCTCCGCACGCAAGCTGGGTGGCCTGAAACGACAACCGCCTGTTACCTCGAGGCTTCCGTGGGCCTGCAGGCCGGGCTTAGCTGGGACTTCAGCTCAGGGCGGCCGTCGTGGTCTTACTTGGACGCTGGACGGGGAAGGATCATTTCCCGGTAGGACCGAGGGCCGCCAGGAGCTGCTCTCAGCTCCCGGGGGCTGCCTGCTGGTCCCTGCTGTGTGGCCATCCGGGAGGGTGGGCGGTTCACCGGCTGGCCTCTTCCCAAGGGTCTGCTGGAGAGTCCCACCCCCAGATGGAGTCCTATGGAACACCCCTAATCATGGGTGATGAGCCAGCCACCCCTCCACCCACTTCTACTAAGAGTGAAGTCACAGGTGCCACCTGTAGCCAAGGGAAGGATGGGCATGGGGCTGGCTCCGGGGGCTCACCTTAGGACATCCGCAGCAGTCTGCCCGCCCAACAACCCTTCCCATTTACCCTTTGCATGTAGTTTCCTTATTATATTTATTATTAATTATCCCCCACCCCCACACACCCCCACGCGAAACAGCCCTGGGAGGGCAGCCACCTGTGTTGTTCTGGGTCTTCACGTCCTGTGGACCCAGTGAATGTGGGTGGAGATCTTGGGTGCTGCCGGTGCGGAAGGACCCTAGGAACTGCCTGCCCCCACCCAGCCCTCTCTCCAGCTGCCTCCTGGACTTGGCAAGGTGTTGAAAACCAGACAGTTCTGCTTCCTCCCTCCTTGTCCCACCCCCTCTCACATCCCGTTGCTTTTACCTCCTGATGTTTTAAACCACCAGCCCCTGTCCAGGCTGCTTTCTCTGTCCTGGCTGGAGCCCAGTCTCCTCTCCCCAACACTGCTTTGCTGCCCTGCCCCGGGGTCTACCTGCCTTCATTTGGGCTCCCCTGTCCACCACCCCCCAGAGCTTGAAGGACTGACTAATGGGGCAGCCAGCAGTGGCCCTCCCAGCTTCACGCCTGTCCTGCAGGGTGAGACCTGGGTCCCCTCAGCAGCTGCACTGGGGCCTGCACGGACTTGCAGGCTGCCCCTCGCACCACCCTTTCCTCTCCCAGGAGACCGAGCAGCAAGCACACGCCCTGCCATAGGCCACTGGCTATGTGCCCCAGCCCTGGGCCTTGAACACCCCTCCCTGCCTCCGCCTGACAGACCCTTTCCTGCTTTTTAAGACTCCACCTGTTCAAGCTCCTCTGTGCCAGCCCCGGGCTCGCCCCTGCCGGCCTCAGGCTGAGGCTGCCTTGGTAGTTGTCCCCACAGGTTACGTGCTGCACATGACCTTACAGCTCTGTAAGAAAAGTCGTGTCTGTGTCCCGGGTCCTGGCTGCAGCCAGATGACAGAGAGATTGGAAATAGAAAGTCGTAAAGAAACATGCCCCCAGCTGGTGGCTCATGCCTGTAGTCCCAGCTACCCGAGAGGCTGAGGCACGAGAATAGCTTGAACCTGGGAAGTGGAGGCTGCAGTGAACCGGGATTGTACCATAGCACTCTAGCCTGGGCAACGAAGTGAGACTCAGTCTCAGAAAAAGAAAAAAGAAACATGTCCCCAAAATACATTTCTGACCATGTGTCCTCACAGACCGACGCTTCACGGCCATGTGTGTATGCGTGAGAACACAGCCGTGGGCCATGGTACTTGCTGTCTGTCTCCCTGCTAGGTCAGTCCCTCTGCTGCAGACAGCAGGGCACGCCCGCCAGCCTTCCTTCAGACTTCCGAGGCGGCTCCCCTGAGGCTGTGCCGCAGTGATTTTCTTACAGAGCTGCAACCAACAGCGAGTGAAAGTGGTCAGTGAAAACGAAGTGGTTCTATTTTAAAACCTGGGGCGCAACTCTTGGCCAGTCCTCCAATCCGGAGACAGAATCTCACTCACCTCCTTGAATGTGGCCTGGGCTGGGCAACTCATTTCTGCAGTCGGAATAAAGTGAGGTCCAGACAGAGCGACTTCAGACAGGTCCCCAGGGGCTCCGTGGCGTTTGACTGCTCTCACCCTCTGGCCACTTGCTCTGGTGGAAGCCGGCCACCACGTTGTGAGGAAACCCAGAAGCTGATGGAGACGCTCACGTAGTGAGAGACAGCTGCACGTGGAGCCATCGTGGGAGCCAGCCGTGGTGGGGCTCTCGGATGACATAGCTCCGGCTTACACTTCCATCTTACAGATAAGGAAACTGAGGCACAGAAAGGCTAAGCGTCTTGCCCGGGACCAGACGGCAATAGGGAGGCAGTGCTGGGATCTGAGCACAGGCAGCCTGGCTCCCAGGCCCACGCACTCATCCCTACCCCCGGCCCACTCAACATGGCGGCCCACCATGTTCGTCACCCTCCATGACCTTCCTCCCTCTGCCAGCTGCGCAGAGCTGGTGTGGACAGGAACTGGGCCCTGCGCCATACTCAGGACGGTCTCTGCCTTGGAGAAGCAAGAGGCAGCACTGGTCTCCAGGGACAGGTGGGCTGATGTCAAATACTGGCTCCACAGCTTACTTGCTGTGCAAATCAGCCTGGCCTCCTCCCACGTCTATGAAGACGTCTGTTTTTCTTTTCTTTCTTTCTTTGGTGAAGAGGTCTGTTTTTGTTTGTTTGTTTGTTTGTTTGTTTTAGACGGAGTTTCGCTCTTGTTACCCAGGCTGGAGTGCAATGGCACAATCTTGGCTCACCGCCACCTCCGCCTCCTGGGTTCAGGCAATTCTCCTGCCTCAGCCTCCTGAGTAGCTGGGATTACAGGCACGCACCACCACGCCCGGCTAATTTTTTGTATTTTTAGTAGGGACAGGGTTTCACCATGTTGACCAGGATGGTGTCGATCTCTTGACCTCGTGATCCACCCGCCTCGGCCTCCCAAAGTGCCGGGATTACAGGCGTGAGCCACCGCGCCCGGCTGAAGAGGTCTGTTTTAAGATTATTTTTGTCATAGCGATTATGCTCCTTGGAACCCTCAGTGGGGGTGAGCTGTGGTCTTGAGCCAGCTGAGCGGCAGTACCCTGGGTCCAGGGAGCTGGCAGGGAAGATGCAGGAGCCCTGTATCTGTAGGGGAGGCAGACACCTGGCATCACAGTGCTGAGGCCACCCATGTCACGGTCCAGGAGAGAAGGGATCCTCGGAAGAAGAGGAGACCTGGGCGCAGGAGGAGAGGGACCCGGTGGGTGATACAGGTCCACCAGAGATCTCAGCAGTAGGCTGCATCGCTGGGTAGGAATGTGGGCGACAGGCAGGGGTGGCTTCACCAGGGCCCCCAGCACCTGAGGGAGCTCTGTGTGACACAGGTTTGTGTGTGGCCTTGGGGCAGCACATGTGGTTGAGACAGGGCTTCTGTGCCTCTGGTGGCTGTGTGACACTGGCTGGGGATCCCTCGGGGGTGTGTGACGGTGGAACTCACAGACGCCTGGCCTCCACTGCACACTTCTGTGTGGCCCAGGGTCCTCAGAGGTAGCTGCTGTCACAGCATGAGGGAGAACTGGAGCAGCGTGGCCACCTGAGGAACCTGGCAGATCGGAGCCCAGGCTGTCTGGCCTTATGGCCCCAGCGTGTGAGGGCAGAGCCTGACAGCGGGTGGCCACCGGGAGGAGAGCCCCGCAGCTGGCGTGCAGCATTCGCACTGCTGGGGAGCTGTCTCGGCCTTTCTTCTGTCCTCCCACGGTGGCACCAGGCACAGCCTATTGGCTGGGTGTTCATGAAGCTGGTGGCCTGGGTGCCTTTAAGGGAACACAGGAGAGGGTTCCCTATGCTGGGAGAAGCAGCAAAGGAGGAAGGACTGAGAGATGCCTACGTAAATTGGTTATGAGTAGCACCTAAGCAAGGAACAGCGAACCGCGGAAGGCCGGAGGAGGCCCCCCCATGCCTCATGTTCCGGCGCAGGGTGACCTCGGCTCTGTTACCGTCAACATTTACGTGGGCGCATTTTATTGTGCTCAAGGACATAAAACCCCTTCATAGCACTGTGACGTAGCCAGACTTGTAGGCTCCTTGTAAGACTCTCGTTCCATCAGCTGCATGCAGATATCAGCCTAAAGATAACCACACGTTCTTGTTTTGTGAAACTCCTGAAACCGCCACTGTTATCAGCCTTTATAGTGACACACCAGTTCCAGCTCACTGATTCGCCCCACCAGCAAATCACCCTCTCCCCGCCGTCACTCCACCCCTACCCTACAGATCAGAGTGATTGTAACCAATAAATGGTGTGGATGATCAGAGCTCGGGGCCTTCGCTGCCTCCTCCGGCAATGCCGGCTGGTCCCCTGCTTCCACTTTCTCTCTTAATCTGTCTTTTTCTCATTCCTTTGTTGCCACCGAACTTGGGGTACCCATGGGTGATGTGGGGCTGGTTCCCTACATTCTGGGGCCCAATGCAGGGCTCATGGATCCCTGCATCACCCGTGGGTACACCGAGTTTGATGGCGACAAAGGAATGAGAAAAAGATTAAGAGAGAAAATGGGACCGGGGGCCTTCACTGTCTCCTCCAGTAATAAGTGATGGCTCCCTGGTCCCACTTTCTCTCTTAGTCTTTTTCTCCTGACTTTGTTGCCACCGAACTTGGGGTATCCACAGGAGATGTAGGGCTGGCTCCCTACATCCCTGGTTTTCCCACGCCAGTTGAAACCCGTCAGTACATACTTTCTGATTTCTGCAGGGTCTGACCAAGTGCTGTGCGAAAACACGCAATAAAACCAAACCAAACCCATGCTAAAACCACAACAGCAAGGCTGGCACCGTGGCTTGCACCTGTGATGCCTGCACTTTAGGAGGCCGAGGTGGGAGGATCACTTGAGCTCAGAAGTTTGAGACCATTCTGGGCAACACAGCGAGACCCTGTCTCTACAAAAAAATCAGCCAGGTGTGGTGGTGCGTGCCTGTGGTCCCAGCTGCTTGGGGGGGCTGAGGTGGGAGGTCCGCTGGAGTCAGGAGGAGGCTGCAGTGGGCCGAGATCATGCCACTGCATTCCCACCTGGGTGACGGAGTGAGTCCCTGTCTCTGACAAATGAAAAAGAAAAAAATAAAGCAGCAGCAATAGCAAAGGCACACACAACCCGGCTTTGCTCTCACGGAGCTCAGTCGCCTTGAATGTTCTTCCAAGCTGACTCAGCCTCAAGCTCTGAGTCCCTTGCATTCTGCCCACCCCTGGGTCTCCTGGACCTAAGTCCTGACATGTGAGCAAGGGCCTCTCTCTCTCTCTCTCTCTTTTTTTGAGTCAGGGTCTTACTCTGTCACCCAGGCTGGAGTGCAGTGGTACAATCTTGGCTCACCCCAACCTCCCCCTTTTGGTTGGAGCGATTGTCTTGCCTCAGCCTCCCATGTAGCTGGGATTACAGGTGACTGCCACTACACCTGGCTAATTTTTTTTTTTTTTTGTATTTTTAGTAGAAATGGAGTTTCACCCTGTTGGTCAGGCTGGTCTCAAAATCCTGACCTCAGGTGATCTGCCCACCTTGGCCACCCAAAGCGCTGGGATTACAGGCGTGAGCCACCACGCTGGCCCAAGGGTAACATTTGGCATCACTGTGGTGCAATATTACACCCTTCTCCGTGGGGAGGGGCATTTGGGAGCCCTGGAAGCCACTCATCCATTCTCTCCATTTCCAGAATTGTCACTTCAGAGTGCTGTGTGGAGCAAGTCGCCCTGGAGGTCACCTGCTGAGAGGCCTCTCTGACTCTGAGAGAGTCTCTGGCTCCCCCGGCGGGTGTGCCTTTCAGCAGCGCTTCCTTCCTGTGGCTGAGCTGTCTCCCCTGACGCCCATGGACCCAGCTAAACGCTTCATCATTGAAGGACATCAGGACTGCTTCCCAGGTTTTGGCTAAAACAAGTAAAGCTTCTCCGAACCTGCACGAGCAGGTGTTTGTATGAATATGACTTTCATTTCTCTGGGGCTTGATCATGGGGTCATGGGAGTTGCATGTCTAGTTTGATAAGAAACAGTCAAGCGATCTTCCAGAGCGGCCGCACCATCGTCCACTCCCAGCAGCAGTGCATAGGGGACCCAGCTTCTCTGCCTCCCATCAGCATGTGGGGTGGTCATGGTTTGTTTATTTATTTAGTTTATTTATTTGTATTTTTTTGAGATGGAGTCTAGCTCTGTCATCCAGGCTGCAGTGCAGTGGTGTGATCTCGGCTCACTGCAGACTTCACTTTCCAGGTTCAAGCGATTCTCCTGCCCCAGTCTCCTGAGTAGCTGGGATTACAGGCGCCTGCCACCACACCTGGCTAATTTTTGTATTTTTAGTAGAGACAGCATTTCACCATGTTGGCCAGGCTGGTCTCGAACTCCTGACCTCAAGTGATCCACTCGCTTTGGCCTCCCAAAGTGCTGGGATTACAGGGGTGAGCCATGCGTCCGGCCGGCTTATTTTTTATTTTAGCCATTCTGATAGGTGTAAAATGAGACCAAACTGTGAATTGTTTGTTTGTTTGTTTAGAAACAGGGTTTGTTATGTTGCCCAGGCCGATCTTGAACTTTGGGGCTCAAGTGATCCGCCCACCTCAGCCTCCCACGTCCTGGGATCACACTTGTGAGCCGCTGCCACAGCCTTGCCGTGGTTTCCGTGTCGGAGTGTCGAGGGTGCCTGGTGCTGAGCATCTCTTCCGGTGCCCGTTTGCCTTCTGCGTGTCCTCGTCAGGGTAATGGCTCTTCAGGTCGTTTGCCCGTGTTGTAAGTGGGTTGCTTTTGTGCTGCTGAGTTTTGAGATACGTCGTGAATAGATTGTGGTCCCCTGTCCGCTCTGCCATTTGCAAACATTTTCTCCCGGTCTGTGTTTTGTCTTCTTTCTCTTCCATGGGTCTTTTGCGGAGCAGTTTTTATGTCAAGGAGGCCACCCTCTGCTGGGTTCCCACCCTCCTCCCGGTCATGGGATGTCCCAGCCGGGAGCCAGGTCCACAGCAGCAGTGAAAGGCTCACCCTTGCCCCATAAGGTCTCTGCTGCCAGAAGCCTGAGGGTCAGGCAGCGCTCCCACCTCCTGACATCTGGAAGCTCCCTGTGCCCTGTGGGGTCCAGCGTGGAACTAGCTGAACCCCCTTCCCCTCCTACCTTCGGACCCTCCAGGGGCAGGAGCCCCTGGCTGTGCACAAGCCTGAGGCTGAAGGTGCGTGACCTGCTTCCATGACAGGAGCCGGGGACGCCTCCATCCCCTGGAAAGATCTGATTCTGGCATCTCCCATCAGGGACCTGGGTGCTGGAGCCGTGGCCTCGTCCTGCTTCCTGCAGAGCTGACCCGTCCAGTGACCATCAACTTCTGTAGACCTCAGTGGTCTCAGGAAGGCATCCCTAGGGTCTGTCTAGGATAAAAGACAGAGGCGCCTTCCTCAGGAATTTCCTGTTTTGGGGACACTGCCTCGTTCTCCAGCGAGTTCCCATAGACTAGAACAAGGAACTGGAGGCCCAGCCATGCACGCCCACTTCCTGTCCTGGGGGACAGGAAATCCCCAGGAAGACACCAGATTAAATCAGATCTGCACAGCCCATCACCTTCCTCTGGGTGAGTGGAGAGGAGCAGGTGACCCGGGAGAAGGGGCGTGGGCACAGGACGAACTTGGTCTGGGCAGGTGACCTGGGCGTGGGGTGTGGGGATGGGACACACTCGGTCCAGGCAGGTGACCCAAGGGTGGGGCGTGGAGATGGGACATGCTGGTCTGGGAAGGTGACTTAGGAGGAGAAGCCTGGGCACAGGGCACACTTGGTCCGGGCAGGTGACCCAGGGGTGGAGTGCGGAGATGGGACACACTGGGTCTGGGCAGGTGAACTGGGGGAAGGGGCAAGGGCACAGGACACAGTCTGAGCAGGGCCCCGGGGGGAGGGACTCCCTCTGGCTTGGATAAATGACCAGGTGATGATGGAGCTGTCAGGGGCAGCTCCCAGCAGCGTGCTTTGCCCCCAGGGCCTTGGCCTGCACCCACCTTCGGCCTGGCTCCCCCTTCCTCCTCCAGGTTGCACCGTCCCTGTCTGGAATGACCCCTCACAGTGCCAAGCTCCTGGATCTCTGCCCATAGTAGAAAAGTTTCTTTTTAACTTTTCCTTTCTTGTTAAAGAATAAGTGTGCTAATAACTTTGTTGAGCCCTATCTTATGTAGCTGTTAGACATGCCACGCTTACAGGCACGTAGCACATTCTACGTCCTTGTACTTTAACCAGGATATCGGTGCTGGACGTGCTCACAGACATGTCCCAGCTCTCTATTGCCTCTACCTGTTTAGAAAAGTTGTAAGTTGTTAGCCAGTCGGGTTTTAGTTTAGATGGTGAGGTCTGGCTCCAGCCAATGGAGATCAGGCACAGCAGTGAGGACGACCCCAAATGCATAAGGGATAAATGTGTCTGTTTTCCTTTGTTCATTGTACTCTTGTGGCACAATGGCTCGTGAGAGTGTCTTTCCTGCAGCCCAGGAAGTAAAAATTGATTTGCTGAAGGATCCTTTGTCTCAGGGCTAATTTTTATTTGTGGCATCAAGCATCTATTTCCATCCATCCATCCATCCATCAATCAATCAATCAATCAAAGGGAGTTAGCTGGGAAGGTGGCGTGGGAGGAAACAGCAAGCACTGAGAAAACCGCACGGGGATGGGTGGGCCCAGGTGTTCTGGTGCCGCTGGACCAGGCCCTGTGTGTCCTGCAGGGGAGGAGCCCGAGGTCAGACGCGGGTGCCAGCGGTCCTGCTGCTGGCCAGGTGTGGTGAGAGCTAAGCCTGGAGTCAGGTCAGTGGCCCGGAGGAGGCAGGCCAAGCCCAGAATGGGGAAGCCCTGGGAGGGTGGCCTGAGCCCCGGGGCTGAGCGCTCCTTGAATGCTGGCTTCTTCGAGTCTCCTTCATCACCTCTGTGCTTGGCAGAATGGGCGCAACAGCAGCCTCACGAGTTGTGTGGGATTGCGTGAGACCTTCGCCAAGACCCAGCCTGGGTCCAGGATGTGGGGAGCCAAGGCGGGGTGCTAAGACCACAGGACAACAGGGGGCAAGAATGCGCTGAGGCGGGTGCTGGCTTGCAGGTTGGGTGCCCGCACACTGTGTTGTGAGGAAGAGTGTGTCACGTGTGCACCCTGTGTCAGAACAAGAAGCCGAGTCTCTCCCTCTGCTGGGCCTTGGTTTCGTCATTCAGAACAGGAGGGGCCTTTCGGCCAGGACAGTCTAAAGCATGGGTTTGGGCTGGGGAGAGAAGTCCAGTGCAGAGGTGGGGCTGGGGTGTAGAAATGCCCTTGGGGCACTTCATCCCTACTCCCAAAGCACCCAGGAGGGACTTCCTGGGGACCAAGTGCATGCGAGGAGGTGCAGGAGGCAGGGGCCGGGCAGCTGGGTGCCCCCTCCTCCAGGCAGGCCTCCCCGCACTCCACACCCCTGTGACGTCCACCTCTGACTCCACACAGATTCCCCATACCACACGGGCGTCTCCGCTTGTGCCCGTGCTCCCCAGCCTGGCTGTTGGGTCTGGGATGTTCTCACTCAGATGTGTGTCTCCCCCAGCCCCACCTCCCACATAGCGCCTGGCACAGAGTCCTAGGAAGGTCTGTGGAAGGAACCAACCAATGACTCACGGCACTCGCAGGGCAGGGAAGCGGGGCTGAGGGAGCTCCCTGAGGGCCACGCTGTCTCCCACCACCACCTCCTTGTTCCTGTGGCCGGTATTGCAGGCCCCCGACCTGGGTTCCCGCTCACCTTGGTCCAGCACGGAGCACCCTGCCCGGCACCCCGAGGCCTGCTGGGGGCTCCCAGCCTCTCCTGGAAACCGCGCCCCTGCCCACGTGCTCCTGGCTGCCCTCCTGCCCTTCTTCCCCCGACTTCAGTGCTCAGTGAAGCGTCACCTTCCTGGAGGCCTCCCGAAAACCCCAGACAGGGGAGCACGTTGCTGTGGGGATTCAGCCACATACGGCTTTTCTTCCATTGACATTGACTTTTCGTTACAAAGTTGGCACGCCCACCAAGGAGATCCAAATGGAAGAGCAGTGCCTAAGCAAGCAGCAGCGCCCCTCGCTGCTGTCCCTGAAAGCGGCTCCCCGGCGTTCGCTCCCGCTTCCAGACAGGTTTCTCTGCTTATGCAAAAGCACACGTTGAAAACAACTTACAGGAAAAAAAAAGTTGGGCCTGGTGGCTTATGCCTGTAATCCCAGGACTTTGGGAGGCTGAGGCAGGAGGATCACCTGAGGTCAGGAGTTGGAGACCAGTCTGGCCAGCATGGTGAAACCCCATCTCTACTGAAAAAATACAAAAATTAGCTGGGTGTGGTGGCGTGCGCCTATAGTCCCAGCCACTCTGGAGGCCGAGGCAGGAGAATTGCTTGAACTCCGGAGGTGGAGGTTGCAGTGAGCTGAGCTCGTGCCACTGCACTCGGCCTGGACAACAGAGAGAGACTCCTTCTCAAAACAACAACAACAACAAATAAACAAACAAACAGAAAGAGAACAATAACTTGTAACCGGCAGGGTTGCTGCATGAGTTTCTTACCCTCTGTGAGGCTGTTCTTGGATGTAAGTGAGCCAGTGTGGCCAGGAGGGTGACAAGGAGCAGTGTGCACCTTGCTGTCACCTGGGCTCAGAGATTCTGGAAGGGACGGTCCAGGGCTGGTGGGAAGCAACACGGAGGCAGCAAGAGGAGCTCCTTAGGCTCTGCTAAAAGCTCTGCAGAACGTCACTGTCCCCTGTGCAGCCAGGAGGCCGAGGCCCGGCGCTGGGAGCCACCTCCCTCAGGGGCCTGATGACAAAGGCAGGGCTTCCTTGCGTCACTCCTCCAACGTCAAGGACCTCAAAGCCAAGCTCCTTCTACGGAGTGGAAATGAGGGCCATTCCTAGGGACAAGTGCCAGAGCCGTCAGGTTTGGAAAGGCCCCTACCTGGTTTCGGTCACAGGTCATCCAAGCTGGTGAAATGCACGCTGCTGCTCCAGAGGGCCACACCTGATCCACGCGAAAACGCAGGAGACAAAGTTGTGCGCGGAGTTCATCTGGTATGAAACAGTCATTCGATAAACCAGGTAAAAGGCTCCAAAATGTGGACACGGAGAAACAGCCTGGCACACATCCATTGGTTGGTGGTATGTAGGTCACTCATTATTTTCTAAGTTTTCTACAAGAATTACCTGGAGGCGGCTGGGTGTGGTGGCTCACTGTGAGCCCAAATTGCACCATTGCACTCCAGCCTGTGCAACAGAGTGAGACTCCGTCTCTCTCTCTCTCTCTCTCTCTCTCTCTCTCTCTCTCTGTTTTTTGAGATGGAGTTTCGCTCTTTTTGTCCAGGCTGGAGTGCAATGGCATGATCTTGGCTCGCTGCAACCTCTGCCTCCTAGGTTCAAGTGATTCTTCTTCCTCAGCCTCCCATGTAGCTAGGATTGTAAGTACCTGCCACCAGGCCTAGCTAATGTTGCATTTTTAGTAGAGACAGGGTTTCATTATGTCGGTCAGGTGGTCTGCCCACCTTGGCCTCCCAAATTGCTGAGATTATAGTGGTGAGTCACCATGTCTGGTTGAGACTCCATCTCAAAAAAAAAAAAAAAAAATTACCTGGAGGTTTCCTCTACATGATAACACAATCTGCAGAAGAGTCTGGCTGCTCACTGCTCTTTCTTGTAGGAAGAAGCCAAAATAGTAACAAGTTGTGATAGAAAGAGAATGAGGCTTTATTATCCAAGCCAGCAGGGGAAGAGCAGAAAGCAGTTCCACCCTTCCATTTGCAGAGGGAATGCAGAGTATTTTCTTTCTTGCTTTCTTTTGAGACAGAATTTTGCTTTAGTCGCCCAGGCTGGAGTACAGTGGCACAGTCTCGGTTCACCGAAACCTCCGCCTCCGACGTTCAAGCGATTCTCCTGCCTCAACCTCCAAAGTAGCTGGGATTTCAGGCACGTGCCGCCATGCCCAGCTAATTTTTGTATTTTCAGTATAGACGGGGTTTCACCATGTTGGTCAGGCTAGTCTCGAACTCCTGACCTCAGGTGATCCTCCCATCTCGGCCTCCCAAAGTGCTGGGATTACAGGCATGAGCCACCATGCCCAGCCAGACAGGGGATTTGAAAGAGAGGGTTTGGAATGCAGAAGAGGCAGGGGGTGAGGAGGTGCCAGGTGCATGACCCACCCCAACGCTCATCTTGAATTATTGTTCCATCTGGTGAAGGGGCTGGTGCCAGCGTGGCTTCTACCAGGTTCTAAACTAATTGTCGTCAGACTTGTCAGTCTCTAGCCAGGAGTGCGTTCCTGCCTTGAAGTAATCTTTTGGTGGAGAGAGAATTCTGGAGGTGTCTGGTCTGTATCAGGATCTGACGGTTTTAAGGAAATAGTGAGCAGGTAAGTGAGCATGGTGTGTGCCTAACAACCTTCCAGGTGAATAAGTGTGCATAAGGCTTGGAGCATAGAATGGGAACGAGAGTGGAGCTCACAGCACATTCCGAGGCTGTAGAGTTTATCTCAGAGCTACAGCTTGAAACTGGGGAGGAGGCAGAAAAGGGGAAAGAAACAGTTTTGAAACACGATTTGAGGTGAAGCTGCTAAGCGGCTTGCTTACGAAGACCTTGGTTTCCACACCCTCCTGCACCCCTCTTAGCGTGACTCTAGCTGAATTCATCTCTTCAGGCCCAGCTTGACCCCTCCAGCCAATGGCCAATCAGGGAAGCCCTCCACCTGTGGCCCCTGCTTCCAGATGTCCTGCCTTTCCGGGCCGAACCAGAGTATACATCGTGTGTATTGATTTCCGGCTGTGCCTGCAATTTCTGTCTCCCTGAAATGTATAAAGTCAAGCTGTACCCTGACCACCTTGAGCACATGCTCTCAGGACGTCCTAAGCCTGTGTCATGGGTCACAATCCTTAACCTTAGCAAAATAAACCTCAAAATTGGTTGAGACTCGTCTCGGACACTTTTTGGCTTACAAGGGACAGCTACAGCTCAGGGCAGGGGATTTCTGGATACAGTCTAGTTACTGTCACAAATATGGGGCAGGTTCCAGGGAAAGCCGACTCCGTGGATCCTGAAGGAGTGAGGACGCTGGCACCAGCCCTGGGGTGTGTCCCCTAGCGCCTCAGGGCAGGCTCTAGGAAAAGAAGGGCCTGACCACTGGAGCTCCTGGATCCAAGGGTTCCCAGGGTTCCCAGAGTTCCAGGGTTCCCAGAGTTTCAGGGTTCCCAGGGTTCTCAGTTCCCAGGGTTCCCAGGGTTCCAGGGTTCCCAGGGTTCCCAGAGTTCCAGGGTTCCCAGAGTTTCAGGGTTCCCAGGGTTCTCAGTTCCCAGGGTTCCCAGGGTTCCAGGGTTCCCAGGGTTCCCAGAGTTCCAGGGTTCCCAGGGTTCTCAGTTCCCAGGGTTCCCAGGGTTCCAGGGTTCCCAGGGTTCCCAGAGTTCCAGGGTTCCCAGGGTTCTCAGTTCCCAGGGTTCCCAGGGTTCCTAGGGTTCCAGGGTCCCAGGGTTCCCAGGGTTCTAGGCTGGTCTACCTGTTACCTTTGTTACTGGAAAGGGGTCCTGATCTAGACCCTAAGAGAGATTTCTTGAATCTTGTGCAAGAAAGAATCCAGGTCAAGTCCACAGAAAACTGGTTTATTAAGAAAGTAAAGGAATAAACAATGGATACTCCGTAGACAGAGCGGGCGTTCCTGAAGGCACCAGGAGGAAGGTGCCACCTTAGTGCAGTGTGAGTTTATATATGAGACAAGAAAGCCAAAAGGTTACAGGGTGGTGAGCTCTGCCAGGGCTCCGGAGAAGGGATTGCTTATCCGTGTGTGACTACTGTCTTTCGCAACAATCTGTATTATTGTCTTCAAAGCGAAACTCATTCTTAAACCAAGAATGCTTTTTTTCCTAAGACATTGGACATCAGGACTTTAGTTCCTGGGTCTGTTTGGCAAACATTATTACTTGTTCCCTTAAGTGTAATGTCCTGGTGACTGAACACTTGAAGTCCCAGAATCCAGCAGGCGTCAGCCTCATTTTACCCAGCCGGTATTCAAGATGGAGTCGCTCTGGTTGGAGCACCCATGACACCATGCCCGCCAGGAACACCAGGGGCTTGCTGAGTGGAGTGCGGCTCACAGAGCGTGGCTGAGAGCTGCAGGCCCTTCCCACGCTGGACCTGGAAGACCTGGCGGCCACTCAGAGCTGCCAAAGTGCTCAGGCGATGGCCCCTGGGGAACCCACATGGACGCTGCACAGAGAACAGGACAGAGGCCCCATGGGGACACAGGTCAGGGGTGGGAGACAGGCCGAAGCGGGGAACAGAGGCTCAGGGTTGAGGGGAAGAGGCCCAGGTGGGGGTCAGTGGCTGGGGATGGGGTAAACAGAGGCCTGGGAGAGTGTCCTGGAGTAGGGGCAGAGCCCGGGGTTGGGACAAAGGCCCAGGAGAGAAGCTGGGGAGCAGGGGTCAGAGGCTGGGGAGCCGGAGACAGAGGCTGGGGAGCAGGGGTCAGAGGCTGGGGAGCCGGAGACAGAGGCTGGGGAGCAGGGGTCAGAGGCTGGGGAGCAGGGGTCAGAGGCTGGGGAGCAGGGGACGGAGTCTGGGGAGCAGGGGACGGAGGCTGGGGAGCAGGGGTCAGAGGCTGGGGAGCAGGGGACGGAGTCTGGGGAGCAGGGGACGGAGGCTGGGGAGCAGGGGTCAGAGGCTGGGGAGCAGGGGACGGAGTCTGGGGAGCAGGGGACGGAGGCTGGGGAGCAGGGGTCAGAGGCTGGGGAGCAGGGGGACGGAGTCTGGGGAGCAGGGGACGGAGGCTGGGGAGCAGGGGTCAGAGGCTGGGGAGCCGGAGACAGAGGCTGGGGAGCAGGGGTCAGAGGCTGGGGAGCCAGGGACAGAGGCTGGGGAGCAGGGGACGGAGGCTGGGGAGCAGGGGATGGAGGCAGGTACTGAGGTTGGCAGCTCCAAAGGGATGCCCTAGGCCGGGGAGGACTGGCTGGGCCTCAGTGGCTGGTGGCTGGAGCAGGACCTGTAGAAGGAGCAGGGCGCTGGCACCGGGCCTGGGGTCCCCTGGCCCAGGTGGCTCTGGGGGTCTGGCTGCAACCCGCGTGCCTCCCCACCAATTCCCCCACAGGAAGGGGCCACACACCCCGGACAGCCTGTGGCTTGGAGACTCTGCCTCCGGTTGTCCGGCTGGGTCTCCCGAAGGCTGACCAGGCTCCCTCGGAAGGGTTCGGAAGCTCCTGGGCCAGTTTCCCCTTCACAGAAGAGGACAGGCCTGGAGGGACCGGAGCAGGTCTCCGCAGGACCCCTCTGCGAGCTCGTGAAGGCCTGGCAGTGCCCTCCGGCCCTCCCTAGGGGCATCAGGCATCTGGGGCCTCAGGCACTGGCCCCCATCCCTTCCCACCTCCCCACCTCGTGCCCTGTACCCGAACATGTACCCGCCCGAGCTCCGTGACCTGAGGTGCGTGGTCTGACTGCGGAGACCTCCGGGCCCCTTTGCCAGCAGCAGGCTCTGGTTGATGGTGCAATTCTAGGGCTGCCCTGGGTGAGCAGGAAGGGCAGTGCTCCCAGCTTCCCTGTGAGTTAAGTGGGGTCTCCCCGCCAGGCCCCGCCAGGCCCCTGCGCACTCATTCCTGGGTGGTTCAGGGGTGCCCGCAGCCACCGGCCTCCACAACTCTCTTTACTGGCAAAATGAAGCTTCTATTTTAAAGTTGCAATGGGACAGTTTTCTGTTCCTGTTCCTTGCTACCGAAAGCACTGGGAACTGATCAGGCTCAGCCGGGCCAGGTGGGACAGGCTTCCCCGCCCACCGGTGCTGGAGGCCCCTGCTGGCCCGGAGCTCCAGGAAGGGCCGAGGGGCAGGGAGGACGCCGCCTTGCCTTTGGTTTGATGATGTCTGGCCGACGTTTCGCCCCTTTCCGCTTCATCTTGTTTCTCACTCGGGTCTCTTCACGTGGAGGTGTGGAGCCGTGGTCCGGAGCCACGGCCGTCGGAGTCAGAAGCTGCAAGAGGTTTTGGGGAGGGGCATGGCAGGTTCCCTTTCCCTGGGTTCCTGGGCTCCCTAGCCTGAGGCAAGGGGCAGGAGCCTGAGGCTCCAGGGTCAGGGCAGGGCGGCGGCGGCTGCGTAACCCAGGGGTCCCCGGGAGGCTGGTGGCCTCCAGAGCCAAGAGTGGGAGAGGAGAGAGAGCTGGCTTCTGCCCAGCGCGCGGCGGGACTTGCAGTGCACGTCACAGCCTGCTGGGGACACCGCTGAGCCACGGGAGCTGGGCTCAGAGGCTCACCGGGGGCCCAGGCGCGGCTGGGGGAGCTTCTGCAGCCGGCTCCTCACCTGCTCCTGCACTGCAGGGACGTCACCATTAAGTCCAATGAATTAAGAGACAAAACGCCGGCGTGTTAGGAACGAATTCCAATCCTAGATGCCCGTTTCCACGGCAACGCTGGCTCCATCCCTCAGAGAGTGGGTGCCGGAGCGGCACCAGCAGGCCGCAGTCCCTGCAGAGGAGGAGGGGATGGACTGGTGGGCTCTGGGGAGAGTCCCATGCCCCCAGGGTTCGAGGCAGAGTCCTGCTCTGTCTCCCCTGCGCTCCGTGTGGTCTGCCCCACCCATGTATCTGAGTCCGCCTGTCCCCGAATGGCTGGTGGGTGGAGGTGGGGAGCCCAGTCCTGGGGGTGTCAGACACCCCTTGTGTGTGTCCTTATATGCGCGTGGCCAGAGCTCCCGGGGGAGGGAGGCGTGGTTAGGGTTTGTCTTATGAGTTGAGTCAGGCACTGCACCCCGGCTCTTGGTCAGTTTTGATGGCTGGGAGACATGGGTGTGGGCAGACCCGAGGGGTGCAGGAGAGACGGAGTGGAAGCAAACCTCTGGCCGGCTTCTCATGATGAGCAGGGCCAAAGGGGTCTGAATTCTTTTGGGCAGGAAGACATAACTGCGGGGCTGACTTCTGGACTGCGGCCACCAGGGCCCTGGCAACGCCCCTTCCTGGGACTGTGGCCCCTTGAGCCAGGGAGCTTGGTTTGATCCTCCCCAGACGGTGGCTTCCAGAGCACAGCCAGTCTTGGGGCAGGTGTCCAGCGAGGGGCTGATATGGGCTCAGGAAAGGTCCCTGACATACCCAGATTCAAATCCTCGAGCCTGCGAATGTGCCTTATATGGCAAAAGGGACTTTGCAGCCATGAGGAAGCAGAGGACCTGAGATGGGAGGTGGCTCCGGATTCTCCAGGCGGGTCCTAAGTGTGGTCACAGGGTCCCTGTAGGCAGGGTCCGAGGGAGAGCGGACTTGGGAAGGCGGTGAGGGAGCAGTGGTGGGAGAGGCTTTGAAGGTGGAGGAAGTGCCATGAGCCAAGGAGTGCAGGCGGCCTCTTGAAGCTGAGCGGGACGGGGAATGGATTCTCTCTAGAGAAAACACAACCCAGCCAGAGCCTTGACTAACTTCTGACCTCCAGAACTGCAGCATGAACTTGTGTGAAGTCACGAGGTTTATGTGCTTTGTCCTGGCAGCCTGGGGAAACTCGTAGAGATGGACGTCGATTCTAGGGCCGGGGCCCTGCCCCTCCCTGCCCGGCACACCCAGCCCCCAGTCTCCCTGCTGCCCAGGCTGGATGAGAAAGGGTGGCCCCTCTGTGTTCACTCCTGAGACTGAGCATGCCCTGGGCTCTGAGACGGGGCCCAGGATGTCTTGGTTGTGGCCATCTGCCCGTTGGCACCGCTGACCCACCTGGCTCAGATTGGACTTGGCCTGGAAATCTGGCTGGCTCTTGGCTGGCATCCAGCTCCTCCCCAGCTCAGGCGTCTTGGAGCCTGGGACACCCGTGGGAATCGGCTGCGGTTGGCAGGAAGCCCTGGGACGGATCCTGAATCTGCACGGCCCAGCTGTGGGGCCTTGAGCTCCAGCCTCACGTCCCAGCTGCAGCCTTTCCTACCTCAGGTGGGCTGTGACAGGGCACCTTAGCCAGCTAAGCATGACACCCCCTCCTGCTCAGAGCCTGTGGGTGCCAGGAGAAAGCCCTCTGTGGGCTGCTGGGGGTGGTGTGGTGGGTGCTGGCCGTGGGCTGCTCTGTCCCTGTATCGGCCTCTCACCAGCTTCTAAAGCTGCAGGGACAGGCTCAGCTCCGCGCCTTTGGGGAGGGCAGGTGAGAGCCCAGGGGAGTCTGGCTGGGCTTTCTGCTTCCTCAGGGGCGAGGATTAGGGACCCAGCTGCTGGCAGGGCCCAGGACCCTGGGAGAAGACAGGAACCCAAGGCCGGGGCAGGTCCTACAGCCAGTGGCTTCAGACTGCACACCCAGAGGTGGTGCGGGTTGGGAGGGGCGGGGGTCTGTCACACAGACCTGTGCAGGGCTTTAAGGCAGCTGTGTGCAGGAAGAATTTGGCGAACTCAGGTTACGTCACCGGGCGTTTCTAAGTCGGGTGTGGTTAATGAGGTTTTTTTGGATTGCGAGGGTCTCGGGCTGGCTCGGGTAGGGCATGTATTATGTTCACACACACAGATGGCAAGTGAAGAGTGGGGTCACAAGAAGGGTCCTGACGGCCACAGCTCCCATTTGCCCAGCATGTGCCCTCTGCCAGGCATGGGGCTGTAAGCCCTGACCCGCGGCACCCGGGTGGAGCCTCACTGCAGCCCACAAGGAGGGCTCTCCTGGACTCCCGCTTAACAGAGCTGAGTGGGAGGTGAAGGCGTTCCCAGGGCATGGAGCTGGGGAGGGCTGGACCCGAGATTCCAAGCAGGCAGCCCGAGCCCTGCACTGTGCTCCAGCGGGGCTGGAGGTACGCGTGTTTGTGCACACACAATTGCATGTGTGAGTGCGAAATGCAAGTAACAGAGGGACCCCAAATCACTAGCTTCCACACGGGAGAAATTTATTCCCCTCCCAGGTAAGGGGACCCTGAGGTAGGCAGAGCTTTCTGTCGGCAGCGAGCTAGGCCCCTCTGGCCGTGCGGCCCTGATGCCTGGTCCTGCCTCACGGTGCAAAGTGGCTGCTGAGCTCCGCTCGTCACTTCAGCCAACAGGAAGGAGGAAGGGGAAGGAGAAGGACGCGACCCCTCCACCTGAGGCATTTGCCTCGAGACCCCAGCTAGGCGTTGTGGGTTTTTTTACTGAGGGAAAGGAGAGAAGAGTTAGCGGAGGCCTCCTGTGCCTGCTGGGGTGAACATGGCAGGCCGGGCAGCACTCTGGGCTTCCTGGCGCATGGAGTGTAGAACTGGTGGGATCCAGGGGTTCTTGAAGTCTCGCTCTGTACTCCTCAGAAGGGGAAACTGAGACCCAAGTGAGTGGCTGAGCTGTGACCCAGGCTGGGCCTCTGCCTGCCGTCCCAGGGCTGTGGTGAAGGCAGAGCCTGGAGCAGTCACCAGCCCTTCCAGACGAGCCCTGGCGGACCTCCCAGAACGGGCCATCTACCTGCCCCCCTCTGCTACCCAGTCCTGCTTCTGCAGGAAGCCGCAGGCCCATTCCTCCCCCTCCCTGGCACAGGGTGGCCTGTCTGCCACCCCCAGGCCCCTCCATGACACCCATCAGGCTTCGGGCCTGGGGGCTGGAATCGAGAGTGCTGCCAGGATGAGGCTGGAAAAGTTCCATCTCATCTACTCCTCTCCTCTCATCAACTCCACACGCCTCCTGCTCTGGCCCGCAGCCCCCCAGGCCTGTCTCTCCTAGGGGCGAATACAGCCTCCCTCCAAAGCCTCTTCCCTCCGGACGGTGGGGAGGCCGCCCTGGGGAAGGGCAGGGCAGGCCCATGTGGTCACTAGCAGATGGAGGGATTCCCATGGCAGAAAGTAAAGGGTGAGGATTGGTTGTGGGGCCCCCAGGCATGTGGTGGGTGTCATCTCTGCCTGGCTGGGCTGGTGGGCACCCCCACCCCCATGAGGGCTGCAGGTCCTGGGGCATGGTGGCCAAGGCCTGGACCTGGTGCCAGCGTGCTGCCGTTCTGACGCTCACAGGAACAGAGGAAGCAACCGGGCGGGGGGGCCTGTGATGCTGGATCACCCAAGACACTCCGAATTCATTCTCCAAAGCTGGCACAGGGGCAGGAGGGGCAGGTACCAGATAGAGTGCTGGCCGGGCTGGGGGTGAGTCATGTGGGCTCGGGGTAGGGAGAGGCCGTGGGTCAAGGTCTCTTGGGGCTGGGAAGGGCTGTGGTCAGGGTCTCCGGGGGTGAGGAGGGACCGTGGTCAGGGTCTCTCAGAGGTGGGGAGGGCCGTGGTCAGGGTCTCCCGGGGGTGAAGAGGGCCGTGAGTCAGGGTCTCCCAAGGGTGGGGAGGGCTGTGGTCAGGGTCTCCTGGGGTGGGTCAGGGTCTCCCAGCCTCTATTGCACCAAGACCGGTGAGGAGGGTGGGCAGGAGGGTGGGCAGGAGGGCCGTGCCCACAGTTTTGGAGCTGTCCCGGGGGCCGTCTGCTCCCTTGCCCAGTGGGTCCTGGACTTGGGAGCTCTGCCAGGGCGGGACGTTGCACAGGCTGGACTGGCAGCAGGTCATGGTCATCTGGGTCCCCTCGACCGTCTTGGTGAAGGGCTGGCAGCTGTCTGCACACCAGGTGGAGTGGGTGGTCAGGAGGCCTGACTCTGGGGAGGGGAGTGGGGAACAGGGGCTGAGGCCGGGCAGGGCCTCCGAGGTGGCTCTGCAGGGCTCTGTTAGGGCCCTCGGCTTTCCCACCGCCTGGGGGTGCGTGTGCTGGGGCTCCACGCCCACTTACCCGTGTTCCCGTGGGCAATGAGGGTGGTGCAGGTCTGGCCATGCCAGCAGTTCTGCGTCAGGTTACAGCGCTCGTCCCTGGGCAGGGACTGGCAGGTGTAGCACCGCAGCAGCACTGTGGACGAGCCGGGCTCAGGCCAAGGCTGGGTCCCCCGGGGTCTCCTCCCACACCCCTGTCCACCTCCTCGTTCTCAGCTGTGTCCCCAAAGCCTAGCCTGCTGAGACTCCGGTACCCACTGCTCAGACGGGCTGGTGACCCCAGCTTGGCCCTGGGAGCTATGCTATGTGCGTGAGCCTGTGTGTTCAGGGATGAGGGATGTCGGGCCAGGAAGAGTGAACTTCCTGTCATCACTCAGCTCCTGTGACAGTCCTGCCCAGGCTCCTGCTGTGGGACGGAAGACCTGGCAGTGAGTCTGACTCAGTCCTGCCTTCGGGAGCCCCGGGCCTGGCAGAAGAGGACCTCACGGTGGGCACCTCGTGGGTGTGTGGGTTGGGGCTTGGGCTGAGGGCAGGCCTGGGAGCCCTGGGGGCCCTGGGGGTGGGGGGTGGGCTGGGTGTGGTGGGGCGTGCTGGGAGCCCCGGCTCGAGGGTCCGGCAGTGGGTTGGATGCGGCAATTTGCTCTGCTTTGTTCTTCGGATGGGAGAGAGCAGAGGGTGGCCCCACTGTGTAGGGGGTTAAGGGGCCTGTGGGTAGGCGCTGAGGGTGGGCCTTCACTAGCCCCACCCTGCTCTGCTTTCAGCGCTTCCCTGGCTCCCCAGCCTGCAGTGGCCAGTCCAGCCCTCCCCTGCACAGGGCGGCCCGCCCTGCTGCTCTCTCTGCCCCACCAATCTGAACCCAACCCTGGGGCCCCTGCACCTGCTGTCTCTACCTGGGCCCCACTGAGCCCTTCTCTGCCTGGTGAACTCCTGTTTATCCTCTGCATCCTGACACCACTCACCCTCCCAGCTGATGGCTTCTTCCCCTGTTCCCAACTCCGGAAGGCAACTGAGTGTCATGGTGACTGGGAGAAGTGAGGGGGGCGCTGAGTGTTACCCACTCTGCTGGAGGCAAGCTCACAGCAGGGCTTTGGCCTGTTGGCTTCCACCACAGCCCCGCCC